GAGAAACGCGGGACAAGTCTTGGCTGGAAATCTTGAATCATCAACCTCTTAATACTCAGGATCTCAAAAAACTTAACCCGATCCCAGAAGCTCTATTGTCGTCAGGTGATTGTCCACTTCTTCCAGGGTTGTTAAGTATGTAATTCCCTATTTAATCATTTAGATAAATAAGCTTTAGAAACACACTGAATAAATAACCTTTGGTAGATCTGCTGACCTCTTTCTCCTCCTGCTCCACCCTCCAGTCCAAATATGGTCACTCCCAACTCCAAACCACCAGGACACATTAGCCTCACTTCCAAACTTAGGGCTTTAAACCAAACTCATAAAATCAACGAGTGACAAGTGTCATCAGTCAGTCCTGAGGGGGTCTGATGTCATTATCACAGACTGTAAATCAAGCGTCGCACACACACACACACACATGCAGCCTGTGACTCAATCTTACACACCCACGCCTTTTGTTTTCTGTGTAAGCGCGCACACACACACAAACACCGGAGGTATTTGGACGTGAATCAGCCTGCCGGCCTCAGTGTTGAGTAACTTCCATTTTTTTGTCTTTATGAGATAAGACGGCTGACGAGGGACAGGAAATGTGGGGAAGAGAGATCTGGGATGACACACAGGGAGGAGCTGATGGTCGGCTCAGCCTGTGGTCGCTGCAGTGATGAGTGTACAGTAGTCTGTGTCCATTTAACACCAGATCTCTGCTCAGTGTCAGGGTCAGTGTCAGCCAGTTCAGGGTCCAGGTCCAGGTCTCCCTCTTTACCATCATGAAGTACAGGTGCTCATGTAAACAGCTGCACACTGACTTAAGATCATCCTCTGAATTTGTCCAAGAGAAACTAGCGTCATACTTGATTTCTACGTTTCGAGCAAATCCAAAAGACATGAGGGAAGAAAGGGTTGAAAGGGCGAGTTTACTATCAATAGAAGAGGGTAAAATCTGGTATAGATAGAAGGTGTTTATCAGGTCTTGTCCTGCAGAGTTCAGTAATGAATGTAAAAGAAAAGTCAGAAATATCTTAAGAAGGGCTGTCGAAAGATTATTTCTTAACCACGATTAATGGCATAGCACTGGAGGATGTTCTCCAGGATTCAGGTCTCCTGGTCTCCTGGTCTCCTGGTCATACTGAAGTTTCTTTTCTCTGCAGGAGCCGGAACCGGAGATGTGACGACCATGATCAAGGACCCCGCGGGCCGTCAGAACAGCGTGGAGGTGATGATGGAGGACAAGGGAGACAGTGTGTATCGCTGTACCTACAAACCAACGCAGGCTGGACCGCATACAGTCACTGTCACATTTGGAGGGGTCGGGATCCCCAAGAGTCCCTTCAGCGTGGACGTGGGGCCTGGTGGGTCACTGAAACTTCACACTAATAAAAATTGATCATCGTGAGCAAACATGTTACACACAATGGTTACTCAGTGTGCTTTAAACAAAAATAGAAGACTGAATAAATGTAGATTAATGAAAAATCACATCCAGGTTGGAGAGTATATTCAGAGGTTCCTGAAAAGAGAAAAGATTTTACCCTGGATTTAAAAATATTAACACTGAGAGAAAGTTTCAACACTCTTTTTCTACCAGCCTGCATGCCTGGTGCGTGCAGAGCCACAGGTCGAGGTCTCCAGCCGTCAGGACTGAGGGTGAAACAGGTCGGAGACTTCAAGGTGGACACAAGAAACGCCGGCAGTGGAGACCTGAAGGTGGTCGTCAAAGGACCCAGTGAGTACAGCTCACACACCCAGGAGTTTTAGAGGGAAAGGTGTCAAAAAGTTAGGAAGCTTTATTTTCATGACTCTGATTGATATATGTGTGTGTGTGTGTGTGTGTGTGTGTTTGTGTTTGTGTGTGTTCAGAGGGCACAGAGGAGCCGGTGAAGCTGATCTCCAGTCAGGACGGTGTCTTCTCCTACGAGTATCACCCCAAAAACCCAGGCAAACACATCGTGTCCATCACCTGGGGAGGTCAGCACATCCCCAAGAGGTGAGTTTCAAAGAATCACCTCAGCGTGTAACCTCATCTCACCTGAACAGTTCAGTCCGCCAGAGAATCGAGACCCCGAGCTCTCTCTGTCACTTTGTTGAGCACGTCTGTTTGTTTCCTGTCATTTCTAAGCCCCTGATTGGATTAAAAAGTCACCTATGAGATTATTAGAGAACCGTTCGTCCTGAAGAAGACTTGGATGTGGATGAAATGCTGCAGATTAAAACATCTGTAAATACAAAACTAAAGACAGACCGCTCCATGCATGTTTCAGGTTTGTCTCAATGGTGAGCAGACAAACTCTCAGGTCACACAGGTTCAGAAAGTTCCCACAGTAAAGAGGCCGTCTTCAACTCTTCAGGGCTTTTTGAGCAGGTTTCTGTTTTTTATCACCTAAAGCTAAACGTCTGTGAAAATGACAGAAAACTCGTCCTGCTCATCTCTCTGTGTTTCCTCTGCTCGGAGAGAAACATGCTGTTAATAGATGTCAGGTAAGGACTGTATGGCCCCTTAAACTGATGAGGAACACTGAACAAGATCTGTGTGATAATCAACATGTTACCATAGCAACAATAACCATATCAACTAACAGCAGAGATACTGAGATCAGACGCGTGATTAAGTATTACATCATCACTATTACTTAGACGCTGCAGCCTCTGGTCTTAGACACTAGAGCTGATATTGAAGTGCTAGAAACTGCAGTTCCACAAGTGTCCACTAGAGACAGCTGTTTATTCCAGGATCTGCAGACATCGTACGTGAAATATGCTGTAAAATAAAACAGTATTCTAATATCTCCACTCTCCCTTTTTTTTGTTTTCAGCCCATTCGATGTGACGGTGGGTCGGGAGGCGGGGCCTCAACAGATCAGAGCCTGGGGTCCAGGTCTGGAGGGTGGCGTTGTGGGTAAACCTGCCGCCTTTGTTGTGGAGTCTGTCGGCACTGACGTTGGCGTGCTCGGTGAGATTTCCTTTCCCTTAATTTTGCACGTAATTTAATAAGATGCTTGAAAGGAGTCAGACAGACTTTAATCTCCACCTCTGATCCGTTCTGACTAACCCTCTGTGTCCGCAGGGTTTGCCATCGAGGGTCCGTCTCAGGCTAAAATCGAGTGTGAGGACCAGAACGACGGCTCCTGCGATGTTCGTTATTGGCCGACTGAACCTGGAGAGTACGCCGTCCATGTGACCTGTGACGAAGAGGACATCGAACACAGTCCCTTCATGGCGCTCATCGTCCCCGACAACAACGACAGTCATCCAGACAAGGTCAGGACCGGAGTCCAACTCAGCCTGAAGCTCCCAGTGACAAATGTCAAACTCTAAAGATGGTGGATTAAAGGTGTGGGGTTGAACAGAAGGTTTTGTGTTTGTAGGTCAAAGCTTACGGACCTGGAATTGAAAGAAGCGGCTGTTTGGTCAACCAGCCCACTGAGTTCACTGTCGAAACTAAGGATGCTGGGAAAGGACCTCTGAAGATCTCAGCTCAGGTGAGACCGAGAAATCCTCCTTACTTTTTAGACTTCTTGTTTGTTTTCCATGAGTCAGGAGAAAATGAGGACCCTGACTTTGACATAAACTGTCAAACTTGTTCTTGTTGAGTCTTAAATCCTCCTCTCCTCTTTCACGGTCTTTGTTTCAGGACGCTGAGGGTCTCCCGTTGGACGTGAAGGTGAAGAGTAAAGGTGACGGTCTGCACTCCTGCTCCTACACGCCCTCCTCTCCTCTCAAACACACAGTGTCCGTCGCCTGGGGAGGAGTCAGCATACCCAACAGCCCCTTCAGGGTAAGCAGCCAATCACTGCTCCCCGTTACTACAGGAGGCTTTAAGACCGCCCAATCAGAGTCTTTAGTGAAGGCAGAGCGTGTCAGAGTCGTCCAATCAGAGCAGAGCATTCATGAGGAGCGTTTAGAGATGGTTAAGTCCAAACAGAGCGGTAAAAGTAAGCGGCCTCTGATTATTATCACCACCTCCATGGAGGAGAGGTTCAGCTCTTAGTTTGGATGGAGAAGGGAACAAACTTCAGACATTTTAACTTTTCTTTGTTCACGATTTCTCATTCATCACTCTGTAACCCTGTTGTGTGCAGTAACAGCGTCTCTCTGTGTCACCGGGACGTCACAAACTCTCATTTTCTGTCTGCTTTGAAGTTTTTGTTGCTGAAGTTTGTGTGTTTGTGTGGATGATATCGTCACTTTGTGCTCTAACCTGTCTGTTCTGCACTGTAATCCCCGCCTGCATGGGACTCACTTTCTTTTATGGATGTTTTAACACTTTAGAGTTTGAGCTGCACTAAAACTTCACTTCTCTGAACCTCTGAGTCAAACTGCAAAAACAGCCCAAGAGCTTTCGAATTTCAGTGAAGTCATTATTATCCAGTTATCGACCTTAGTTATATCCTGCTGTATCCTCTAACATTTCAATGATGCCGACTGAATTAATCTGAAAATAAGAGAAAATCTCTAAGAGAAGGGACTGTCTCATATTCTTTATGTATTAATGACATGCAACAGGACTGCACCACTTACTGACAAAGTTAGTGTGCCACTAATGACTGAGACCAGCTGTCGCTCACAACCTCAGCACCAGAGGGATGAAAAAGTGGTGAGACTCATTTTAATTTGCGGTAGAGACTTTTAAATACGAGTAACAGGTGCTTCATTTACATTCACAACACTCGTCTTGTTTCATTTAAATAGGAAATTTATATGATTTTATTTCTGAAGGTGTTAAAACAACATCCTGTATGTTTTATTATAATTTCAATTGAAACAGATTTCCACGTTAAAAGAAGAGTTTTTGCTCATGAAAAGAGCGAGTCGTCTTATAATCAGGCAGGTCTTACGTTCAGATTTTACCGTGAAGAATCTCCGTTTTGACCTGCAGGTTTTGACGGGATTGAGGCTCAGATAAGTGAAGCTCTTCTGTCGTCTTTTATTTGTTGTGAAGTTCATTTTGTTTCTTTTAAATGAAAACCTTTTCACCTCTTCTATCTGACCCATGAGCTGAAATCATCCTGTTTCCTCTCAAGATGAAACCATTGAAGACAGAGTTAGGATGCTGCTTTGACTGGACCAGAGTTGTGATGCTCACAGCTTTAAAACCCAAACTAAGTTCCTCTCAGTGAAAAGGTTTTCATTCTCCGTTTAAAGTGTGCACTATCTGGTCGTGTCTGCACTCTAACCACCTTTAGTTTAGTATTTTAATGTCGTTTTTAAGAGCTCTCTCTCTGCTCTCAGATTCCTGTTCTGTTTATCAGCTGTCCTCCCTCTGTGCTGCTCTTCTAAGGTGTTTACAGACTCACCTGCAGGGCAGCTAAGTTTATGAGAGATTTCCAAACAGGACTCAGATATGTCTGGATCTGCGTCTGTGTTCTCTTCAGGAATTTATGACGATACCAAAACGCTTTCAAAGTTGGCACAAACAGCGTTTCCTTTGTGTCGAGACAGAGTCCTGAAGTCATCCGACAGAACAAAAGACGCTGATAATGAGTTTGAAGGGATGTGATTTAAGTGTAATTCAAGATGCAAGACTTTAAAGTGTTGGATTTTCCTCCAGTTCTGATGGTGACGGGTTTTTCTACAAATCATTTGAGCTCCTCAGTGAAGTTGGTACACGTCCGTGAAGGTATCATTTCAGGTTTCTGAGCCGATGTCACAGTGATGAATCAGCAGGCTTGTTGTGAGCTGCAGCAGCCTGCAGTTTGGCACAGATGGAGATTTTCTGCAGCTTTTATGTTGATCCAGGTGATGGAGGGAAGGTAAACAGACACACCTTAGCTCAGAGCTGCTGGGAAAACAGCAGCGACACCTTTTCATTACGATGAGGAAGGTGAAGATGTGAGCGTTGAGGAGAGGTAAAGGTGGATGAAGACGTGGCCCTAAGTGACCTTAACCGCCAATTACATCCACTGTCTCAGAAGAGTCACGAAAGTTTCTGCCTTTTTATCAAAACTCACACAGCAGCAGACACAGCTCATGATTCCTGAAGTGACATTTCCTGTACAGCTAAGTTTTAGCACCTGTGTTGAAAAAAATGCTGAGTCAGCGTCATTCACTCAGAGCTCAGCTGGTAAAGTTTGGCCGTGAGAATCAGGAGGAGTTTTTCTTCTTTGGATAATTTTCTTTTGCACTAATCGATGATACAGGAGAAGAATAAATATTAGGATGTGATTTCCTACGAGGTTTTAGACTGAAGCTCTACAAACAGGGCAGTATGACTATGAAGAAACTAAACCATGAGCACATCTCAGTGTTCAGTCATGAAGTTAAAGAGCCACATGAAGTTGATGGTTTTGAGGACAGCTGATTAACAAACTGATTTGACCTGAAGAGCTGCTTTGAGGTGATCAGGTTCACTTCTCGTTCTTTAATACTGATGAGTCATGTGTTCAGCTCGATGGTTGGGTCACTTTTAGCGAAAATAACTCGGATACAGAAACTTGAAGAGACTACCTCTGGTGCACGCTTTAACAGTTTTCTTTTCTTTGTCTAACACTGAATCTGTAACCAACATGTTGACTGAAACTAACCTCTATCTCCACCTGTATTATCAGAATCAAAGGTCATTCACTTTCACTTTAATCCCGCTCAGAGATAGGCGGCTTTGGAAATAAATTTTAACATTTCATTAAAATATTGTTCTGTGTTGTTTGGTTCATTTGATTCATTATTTGTGTTAGTTTTTCATTTTATGTTTTGTTTTTTTTATGGATGAATTTAGATATTTGAGGTGTTATAATTCAGTGTAAATACACAAGACTGACAGGAAAGAAGACATTTTCTCAGTAGTAGCTCTGATTTCCTCTTTCTGAAGAAACATGAGCAGCTGTAACAAATCAGACCTAACACACAGACACTCCACACTGTGATCACTGTTTTCATGTGTAAATGATCGATAATCTGTGGCTTTGATTTTATGTATTAACTATCATTCACTTTTCCTTAATGTTGAGCTAATTTCAGCGAATAAAAACAGTTAAGGTCATTTGTACTTATTGTAGTACAGTATTTTATTATATTTAACTTATCTTTTTTTATACACCCTAAGCAGGTAACTGTTATGTTACAAAGCGGATTGAAGCGCTTTCTGTATTACTAGTTAGCAACAGTGACCTCATGATATCACACATCACACTGTCTCTGTTACCTCTTCAACGCTCGGACATTAGTGGGGAATAAATATCACCGTTCCATTGACGACATGACAAGGGCTTGAAATATTGTTAACAGCTCCTGAAGCTGCAGTTGAGAAGCAAGTGAAGATATCACAGCGAATTTACTCACAAGAAACTATTTCAACACCAACAAGGTCAAAAAAAGACATAAAATGAAAACAAGTGCAGGACCAAAAGGTTCAGGCCGGAGGACGCTGCTGGTGTTTTTGATTCCTGTTTAGATCTGGCGTCTGCTTTGGATGAGTCAGTTTGAACCTGCATTAGTGAATGCAGCAGTGTGTTCACAGGCAGGAAGTGATTTTCTTGAAGTAATGGTTTTGGTCCTCGTCCTTTCTGCACAGAGATTTCTCTAGATGCTCTGAGTCTGTTAATAGTATTATGTGCTGGAGATGGGCTGCGTGACACTGCAGCCCCTTTGTGACCCAAATGGGATGAGTAATAAAGATACTGGGTAGGTGAAGTACTGTGGCTTAATACTTTGCAGTATTACACGGAGGATTTCGAAATTGCTGAAACATTTGCTCACACAGTTTCTCACAGAGTTCAGCTCAACAGTTTTCTGTTAATACACCACTTTTATACCAATTAAGTTGAGTGAAATGTTACAATGTTAAATATATCCATAAGTGATAAAAGGTGAGGTGTTTTAGTGTGTTTAAATTTCATGTTAAGGAGCACCTCGTGGCCTCAGTATGCCCCATGTATGCAGGTGGCCCTGGTTTAACTCTGGTCTGTTACTCCTCACCTTCATGTCAGTCTCAAGTCTTTTTTTCTGTTTTCAGCTCTACCCCTATCCTGCCAAATAAATGCCAGAAAGCCCCAGAATCATTATCTAAAAAAGAATGATGATGTTAAAAAGACTAAAAAGCAGATCATCTAAGAGGGAGCCCTGTCGAACTCCATTTCTACAGTTTTACTATAAGAACTCCACGAATGTGTTAACTTTGAATTCATTTTTTGAACTGTGGGGTCTGAGCAGTAAATCTCTGCTAATGACCTTTTTAATTTCACTATGAGTGATGTCATCACCTTTTGGTTTTTGCAGGTGAATGTAGGTAAAGGCAGTCATCCCAACAAGGTGAAGGTGTTCGGTCCTGGAGTGGAGCCAACCGGACTGAAGGCCAACGAGCCCACACACTTCACCGTGGACTGTTCTGGAGCTGGAGATGGTAACACACACAGTGAAACACTAACACACACCAACACACACACACACACTAATGCACACAGTAATAATTAGGACAGGAAATCACCGCAGACGGTTTTATTGGGTGTGAAAGCTGTTTCCATCTGTGTTAGACCAATGCAAACAAAAGGGGACTCACACACTCAAACTAAACAAGTTTACACACCCCCACTCTGCCGTGGACCCACAAACAGCCTTAACACTGCCTTTTAAAAGATGCGTGCGCACACACACAGACACACACATTCCTCTGCCTGGTATGTCCTGGTGATGATCTCAAGCCAGAAACATCCTGACAGGAAATTCATCACTTTGACCCTTCAGAGCAGAGCAGAGCACAGACATGAAAACACACACTCGTGAAAACATGTTTTTATGTCCACCTGCATAATCAAGAGCAGAGACATTAAAAATAACAACGAGCTTGATCAAGTTTCTCTGTTTCGAGGAACCATCAGGCTCCTTTAAAATACGTCACTCCATTAATGCTGAGATACAGCCGCTCAGATAACTTACAAAATGTGCTTCTTCAGTTTATTCTGAGTTTGTGCGAAATTACGAAGAGTAGTTATTTAAGAGAGATAAAAGTATTTAAGAATAAAAAAGACAAATTTTAACCTATTTTAAAAACTACAAGACCTAATTTTGAACAGTTGAGTTATCATAAGGGCTACATGTTACTGAAAAAACTAACTTTTTCCCCTTTCTGCAATAAATACGCGATATGAAAAATACAGGAGTTAATACCAGATAAAAACTGTGTATCTCATGGTAATGTTGAATTATTTATAATTTGGATCTTTCATCCTGTTTCCTGCTTTTAAATCACATCTTTGTCCTTTTTACTCATAAAAAGATCAATAACAGTAGAGTCACGACTCCTGTACATGTTTACATTCTGCCGTCATTTGACCCACAGACAGACTCTGTCTGCACAGCCGTCAGTTTCTCTTTGTGTTTAAATGAGGGTGTACATTCAAGTGGTTTCAGATAGATGCGTAAACAGGTCCTCTAATAGGACTATTAGGCACAAACACAGCGCAGTTACAATGTTTATATAATATAGCGATATGTGACATTGTCCATTTTGAGATGTTTGTCTCAGACTGTATATACTACGGACAAGTTGGCTCCACCTTCCGTTATCATACGAATTTGAAGCCGAATTGCTCTCAGTATATTTTCTGTATTTTCTCCACTTCCTGGAACCACCACAGTAGTAGTTATATTCTCTGTAATTAATTTCTAAAGTTTGTCCACAGCTCCATAGGGATTGCTGGAAGAGGTGGGATTTATGACCTATACTGCAGCCCGTCACCAGAGGGTGCTGTTCTCGTGGTGGCTTCACGAGACAGGCAGACTCTGTCCATTCTTTATACAGTCTGTGGCCTTGAACAAATTCTTTGTGCTGAACTGCTCCCAGCCAAAGTGTCATTGTTTTCCTAGCATGCTTAGTTAGACCTCAAAAACAAACTTCAACATGTTTTGGATTCGGTCCTCCTCTTCTCTGATAACAGCTGCTGCACACAGTGTCCCATCTGCCAAAAGAGCTGTCAGTCATCAGTGAAAACACCTTTTTATGTCATAAATTATGAAGGGAAAAAAAGCACAGAGACATACATCAGGGTGACAGAAACCATGTTTAAAAGATGTTGATACACCTCAGAGAGAGAGAGAGAGAGGAAGGAGTTTCTTCTGTCAGAGTCGGAGGAATTTGACCTGTTCCTTCTCTCTGGTACAGTTTCACACTTGATGTCTCCCATACTTTAAATTCTCCTGCTGTGATTGACAGCTCATTGTCTGCATTACACAACAAAACATCTCAGTGTAAAGTATGTATGACATGAATTATAACATGTAAAGGAAGACGCAAACAAACACACTCTGGCACCACCTTGTGGTTCTCTGCGCCACCAGCGAGTGAGGCGGCGAGCTGATCTTTCACATTTCAGCAAAAAGGCGACTCGTAGTGCTTTATCCAAGAACGTTAAAATTAAAAGCATCAGGAGAAAAGGCAAAACACTCTTTATAAATAAAAACAAAACAAAAAAACATTTATTTATTTATTACTAAATAAATCCTTCATTTGCTACTTCTCCGTTTAAGTAATGAGTGTGTGTGTGTGTGTGTGTGTGTGTGTGTGTGTGTGTGTGTGTGTGTGTGTGTGTGTGTGTGTGTGTGTGTGTGTGTGTGTGTGTGTGTGTTACCTTTCAGGTGACGTCAGCGTTGGCATCAAGTGCGAAGCCAACATGGTTGGTGATAAAGAGGCAGACGTGGACTTTGACATCATCCCCAACGCCAACGACACCTTCACTGTCAAATACATCCCTCCTGCTGCTGGAAAACTCACCGTCAAAGTTCTCTTCACTGACAAGGTACACACTCTCACACACACACACACTTGGAGGTTTTTATATCTGGTTAAATTTGTAAAGTTGTTTCAGTTTCATCCTGATGAATTTCTGTATTCATTTTTCCACTCAGGAAGTCCCTCAGAGCCCCTTCAGTGTCAAAGTTGATCCTTCCCACAATGCATCCAAAGTTAAAGCAGAAGGTCCTGGACTTTCTCGCACTGGTGAGACAAAAAAAAACAAACACACACACTTGCCCACTTCACCACACAACAGAAGATCACACGGTCAAATTAAGATGAGAGAAGCTTTTTTGATCAACAGATAAAAGATATAAAAAGCTTTTGTTATCTTTCAGTATGAGCAGGTACAGCTGAGGAAAAAGAGTGAAAAATGAGGGATTTACTAATATCAATTATAAAATCTTTACGTGTTATATTAGGCCTTTCTTTTGTAGGTTAATAAATCTGGTTATGTAGTCGCTCTGAAAACTGTAAAAGAAACCCGTTTGAGCAACTTTATGATGTGACAAAACCGAGATAATATTGCAGGAATACCACACAGGGCAGAATAAATGGCAGCGTGCTTGATTGAAACATTAATGTGCATTTTTCCTTATATTCTCACCTTAAATGTATACCCAATACACAGACATAGATTAAATAATTGGGTAGATTAACAAAAACTAACTAAGTTCATGTGTCTGTTCTTGTTTGACTGTTTTTTTCTTTTCTACCTGTGCAGGTATAGAGAGCGGTAAGCCCACTCATTTCACCGTGCTGACTAAAGGAGCTGGTAAAGCACCGCTGGATGTTTCCTTCTCTTCCCCCGTCAAAGACTTTGACATCATCGACAACTACGACTACTCCCAGACCGTCAAATACACACCTGCACAACAGGTTTGTGAAACATGCGACGCTGCTGCAAGAATGAGCCGTACACAGCCTTCTATATAAGTTTAAAAGCGTAGCATCTGTGCATTAAAGACGAGTGTAATGAAGATGTGAAAACACAGATGGTTCAATAAAATCTGTATATGGAACAGGTGCACATCTGTGCATGAGAGCTACAGCTGTTTAGGGTTCACAAGTTACATTAGACTCTCACTCTTAACCTGCACATTTACATGAGTGAGGCACCTACACAATAGGAACGCCAAACGTGCGCTGAAACAACCTCAACACTGTGTACTCACCCGTTTATAGAACAAACAGCAGATCATGAGGCTGAATAACACCGTCATTAATCACCTGCTGGAGTGATACACTGACAACACATGTACATACATGCACACCTGTGTGATAGATTATTAGTCTTTTGCTCTGTGGCTTTTATCAGCACAGGTGATGATAACAAATGATACACATTTCATGAGCATTTCAGCAGCTGAATGTTTCCCCAGTAAACGTGAATGTAAACGATAAACACATGCTGCTGTTGTCTTACACACCTGCAGGGGGAGATGGACATTTCAGTGAAGTACGGAGGAGATCCCATCGCCAAGAGCCCCTTCAAAGTCGACATCGCTGCTCCGCTGGACCTGAACAAGGTCAACGTGGACAACATGGATGGAAGTAAGTCATCGATCTCACTCCTCATGTGTTAGCAACATTGAAAACTTAACCCTCACATACCAATCGGGGTCAAATTTGACCCGTTTTGACTTTTAACAGCAGTAAAAATACCCTAAACATCATTTTTTAAGCCTGAAACTTGACGACTTTTCCTGAAATAACCCAAAATACATGAAATTAATTTAAAAATATTCATGTGTATTTTTGTTTATGTGCTACAAGTTTTTCCCCTCTAAGGCTGTTACAGGTCAAATTTGACCCGTATCTATATTTAGATGGATTTTAGATCTAGCAGTGTGGGACAAGTGACAAACAGTAACAACCGTGTTCAATATAAGGTTTGTTGTTCAAAAAGATATATTCAAATCATTATGAAACTAACATTACCTTGACAGAAACACACACACACTCACACACAGACATACAGTCACACAGACACACCTAGACAGAGGTCAAAATGACCGAACTAGTCAAGAGAACTTTCTGTGACAGAAAGCTGCTCTTTGAACTCTTTGAAGGAGCAATTTTGACCCGGAACATACTGTGAGGGTACAGGATTTGAACAGTATGTGAGGGTTAAATCCACCGGAGAAACGGCACGTCTTCATCATTTGTTAAATACATCTTTATTTTTGTTTACAAATCTTGAAGGATTATTTTCACATGAATGCTAATTTAAAAATGTCTGCCAGGAGTGGAGGTGAATCAGGAGCAGCAGTTTATGGTGGACACAAAGGGTGCAGGAGGTCAGGGTCAGCTGGAGGTGGCAGTGGTGAGTGTTTATGAATATTATATTAATTTCTTGAGTGAGTTCCTTTGATCACTTGACAGAACAGGAAAAAAATGATTGTTTAGTCATAATATGGCGCTCTGAGGACTCACTGCGTTTCATTTTTACCAGCTGAGTCCCAGTCAGAAGGCGGTCCCCTGTAAGGTAGAGCCTCAGCGCAGTAAACCCGGGGTCAGTCTGGTCCGTTACACCCCCACAGAAGAAGGCGTCCACGCAGTAAACGTCTCCTATGATGGACACCCCGTCCCAGGGAGCCCGTTCCCCGTTGAGGCCCAGCTTCCTCCAGACCCGAGCAAGGTAACGCCACTTCCTGCTCTCTTAAGGTGGTATGGAGGTGGTCTTTAAGGTAGTACAGTTGTTTAACAGAATGTATTTGATAAGCTGTGATACTCTTTATGATTTATGATCACCGGGTTGGAAAAGAATCAACATTTTCTGAAGTCAATTTCAAAACAGATTACAATCTGAGGACATTCACTTCTTTTCTTGAACTGGGCTGACTTACTGTTCTTAAAAACCTGAATCATAACTGAGCATCAAAACTGATCAACTAAATGTCAAACAAACTCATGGCTGTAGGTGAACTCTATCTGCTCTCATCCTCCTCCAGGTGAAAGCCTACGGTCCTGGCCTGAAAGGAGGTGTGGTCGGAAACCCTGCAGAGTTCACCATCGACACGAAGGGGGCTGGTACTGGAGGTCTGGGTCTGACTGTGGAGGGGCCGACTGAGGCCAAGATTGAGTGTTCAGACAACGGAGACGGGACCTGTTCTGTCTCCTACTTGCCCACCGAGCCCGGAGACTACCTGGTTAACATCCTGTTTGAGGAGGTCCACATACCGGGCTCGCCTTTCAAAGCTGACATCCAGATGCCCTTTGATCCCTCCAAGGTGGTGGCATCGGGGTCGGGCCTGAAGAGAGCGAAGGTGAGGGTCAGAGGAGAAAGACATTTAAACCTGAACTTTCAGTGTTTGGAATCAGTGAGATGATGAGGCGAAGACAGTTGGATTCATTTTGCTGTTGTTTTTTTTTCAGGTTGGAGAGACCAGTGTGGTTAACGTGGACTGTTCCCGAGCTGGACCAGGAGAACTCAGCCTGGAGGCGGCTCTGGACACGCCTCCAACCAGTCCCACTGGTTCTGCACCACGATCAGGTAACATTAAGACTGTTTTTGTTCTCTAGGAACCAACATCATCATCATCATCATCATCTGTGTTTTCTTATTGTCTGAGTAACACTCACCTCAGCTGCAGAAACTGCTCCTGTTAGCACCGAATAAAGTGAAGCACTGATTACATGGACACAAACTCACACTTCCCTCATCAGTGTCGGATTAAAAGCTTCACTGTTCAGGGTTTCACCTCACTCATTCATTTCCAGCATGTAAAATACACGGTCTGAGCCAATTTCAGAGAACCCTTTTTGTTGTTTTTTCCTAAACACCAAACTCCTCATAGGGGCTTCAAACAGTTGTCAGCTCTGTGTAAATGTTGAACTGTCTCTGTTTATTCCAGGTGTCAAAGCAAAGACGGAGGTGGTGGACAACAAAGATGGGACCTACACAGTGACCTACGTCCCGCTGTCCTCTGGTATGTACACTCTGCTCCTGAAGTACGGAGGCAAAGCCATCCCCGGGTTCCCCGCTAAAGTCATGGCTGACCCTGCTGTGGACACCTCAAAGGTCAAAGTGTTCGGACCGGGAGTGGAGGGAAAAGGTAAAGTTGAATGTTTTAATAATTGTGGTGCCACTACAATATTTACCCGTTTACATTCTCTTGTGTGGTCCTGATATTAGCTACAAGAGTGACAGAAATAAACCTCTGACTGAAACACAGATTAAAGTGTTCACGTGATACTAATGAGCTCACATGGTCATATGTAGTTTTAATTTCTGAAGGAGTCAATCAGGTATTTTTATCCTCTGGGTTATTTTCACAGACTTCATTAAACTCCTTTAAAGATGTCATGTCTCTATTCTTCGTCTTTTCCTAACACACCCTAACGCTCCGTCATCGTCTCTCTTTCAGGTGTGTTCAGAGAGGCCACCACAGAGTTCACGGTGGACGCCCGTCCTCTTTCTCGACAAGGAGGAGACCATGTGAAGACGGAGGTCAAGAACCCGTCTGGAGCTCTGACAGAATGTGTGGTCACTGACAACGGTGATGGGACGTACGGCGTTGAGTACACGCCTTTTGAGAACGGTAACAACCCCGTTGAACGTTGATGCTAAAGCTCAAGTTTCTGCCGGAGTGATAAATGCTGCGGTGACGTTACTCTCACACAGCTGCTGTTTGTCATGGCGTGTGTTCCAGGTGCTCACAGCGTCCAGGTTCTGTACGACGACACGCCGGTTCCTAAGAGCCCATTCAGGGTTTCTGTGGCGGAAGGATGTGACCCCAGCAGGGTGGTGGCTACAGGCCCGGGACTCCAACAAGCCTTGAATGAAAAACCGAACAACTTCAACATCATCACCAGGTACAGCCGCACAGAAAGAGCAGAGACACACTTACAGCCTGGTTTCAAGCTGAGCTTTAAATCTGAGGTCAAACTGGCGCTGAAATCTTGGATTTGTTGTTTACTGTAGGGGAGCAGGTATCGGTGGTCTCGGCATCACTGTAGAGGGTCCATCAGAGTCCAAAATGTCCTGCAAAGACAACAAAGATGGCAGCTGCAGCGTGGAGTACGTGCCTTTTACTCCCGGCCTGTACGATGTCAACATCACCTACGGAGGAGAACACATCCCAGGTGAGGGTTCGAACTTCAGCTGCAAATGATTCAGGATTTGATTCGTTAACAATGTTTTAGAAATATGAATTTCACTTGAGTGACACCTTCAATCTTGATGAAAATGATGAACATCTATAACTTACTGTACGTCAGATAAATTCCCTCATTTTCACGGCATTAATCTGACAAAGATCTGCACTTTGTTACCTCCTCAACAAACTTTAATGACACTAATTTCCAAAGACCATTTGTTCCCTCCGCTCATGCACCGTAACTGATGTTGAGAGACTCTGCAGATGTTTACGAGTTAACGTTTAAAAGATGTTGTCGGAGTAATTGGCTGATTAAAAACATGCAGACTGTTTCGGTTTAACGGTTTAAAGATGTGGTTTGTGTTTTAAAAGCTGCAGTTCAGTTTAAATGACTCTGCTGTGGAAATGCTCAGTGTGTCTCTTTGTTTGACACCTTTCATACACACAGCTGGTGTGTGTTTGTGGTTCTGCTGTGTGAAGCATTAGAGTTGTACATGTTCGACAGATTCGACTCATCAAAAGTGAAACACCAGGATAAACTCTAAAGAGCTGCTGTTACACAACAGTTAGTTTAACCGCTGCAGAGGTAGTTGTCGTCAGATTTTTCTCTGTTTCTCTTCAGGAAGTCCATTTAAGGTCCCAGTGACAGATGTGGTTGACCCCAGTAAGGTCAAAGTGTCCGGTCCAGGTGTGGGGTCAGGGGTCAGGGCCAATATCCCGCAGTCCTTCATGGTGGACTGCAGGAAGGCCGGAGTGGCCCCTCTTGCCGTGGCAGTCAACGGTCCAAAAGGCGTCGCAGAGCCAGTGGAGATGAAAGACAACGGAGATGGGACCCACTCAGTGTCCTACATGCCGTCTGTGGAGGGGCCGTACTCTGTGGGTGTCAAGTACGCAGAGGAGGATGTCCCCCGAAGGTACGGAGAAGTACTACAAGTGTTGGGTTACAGGTTATAGGATGCTGAGTCTGCCGTAAGAAAACAGACGTCCTGACGTGTTCACGTGTCGTTTCATTTCCTTTATCGTTGCTTCGTCTGTCTCGCTCTCGTTTCTTTAGTCCCTTTAAGTTTCGGGTTCTGCCGACTCATGATGCCAGCAAAGTGCGAGCCAGCGGTCCTGGGCTCACCACCGGCGTCCCTGCCAGCTTCCCCGTGGAGTTCAACATCGATGCCAAAGACGCCGGCCAGGGCCAACTGAGCGTGCTCATCACTGTCAGTAACACACACAGATCCATTCACCAACGCACCAAACCTCCTCTCTTCTTCATCTTTTACTCTCTCTTTCTTCTTCTTCTTCTTCTTCTCCAGGACCCTGATGGTAAACCAAAGCAGCCCACCATCCATGATAATGGAGACGGTACATATCAGGTGTCCTACATCCCCGACCGAACAGGCAGGTACACCATCGTCATCAAGTATGGTGGCGATGACATCCCTTCGTCACCCTACAGAGTCCGAGCCACAGCGAGCGGAGACGCCAGCAAGTGCACCGTCACTGGTACGTGACCAAAAAGTACAACGTCAGGAGGTTTTGAGGAAAAAAAAAAGGTTTTACAGATGCCCAATATCCTCTTCTCTCAGGTCCTGGTGTGGGTCCCACAGTGGCCATTGGAGAGGAGCTGGGCCTGGTGGTGAACACTAAGGGTGCTGGGAAGGGGAAGGTGAGCTGTGTGGTGGTTCAGCCTGATGGCAGCGAGGTGGAGGCCGAGGTGCTGGAGAACGAGGATGGCACCTTTGACATCTTCTACACCGCACCGGCACCTGGGAACTACGTCATCTATGTGCGCTTCGGAGGAGAAAACATCCCACGCAGTCCCTTCAAAGTCATGGTGAGAGAGGGATCAGGGATGATGATCAGTCTGGGGTTTGTTTACTTTTATTGGGAGCACAAATAGATTAAGATGTTGACTCTTGCCAGACTCAGAGGGAAGAATCAGTTTTTCTGTTCGAATCAACCTTAAGTGTTTCATAGCATCGAAATGTTGCAGTTATAATGTATTGGTGTGTATGCTTGTGTGTGTGGCTTTCATTTAACATGATATTTTGCCGTCCAGGTGTGCAAGACCAGTGTTGGAGTAAAACCACATTATTAATTTAAAATTGTCATTGCCTGGATCTTCCAAATCCCTCTGGAAGATGCAACCAGTAATTTCAGTGAATTTTATGACAAAACAGAAGGTTTTTAAAAGAGGTAGCTAGTCCCAGCATTGAACTTTAACGCCCTTCACTTTATCATTCTCACAGATCTGGTTAATTCAATCTGTCAAACATTTTCAGTGAGAGCCTCGACAGAGCTCTTCTGTCAGTCATTTTGTCAGTCCTGCAGTATCCAGCTGGACTCACTGAAGGTTCATCAGAGCAGCAGGAACCATTGAGTCACTCTGAGTCTGTGTCTGTCAAAGATGTTAACAACCACTGCTGTGTCTTCAGGCGACTGATGAGGTTCCCATGATTCAAGAGCAGACATCTCTGCAGCAGCAGGCCGGCCCACCTGGAGCTGGCTTCCAGCCCTGGGTACCACTAAAGCACACACACACACACGCACACACACTGCTCCTCTCTTGCAGGTGAATGGCTGCCAATCAAACCCGACCCATCCCTACCTCTCTCTCTCTCTCTCTCTCACATTCTTATGTGTACTCGCTCAGCTGCTTTGCTCCCATCATGTGATTGTGCTTTTTCTCTCAGCCAATGGGATTGCAGCAAACAACTAACTACTTCCAAATGAGTTGCTATGGTTACAGGTGATTGGCGATGTGCTTTGGTGGTCCCCCTCTCTGTCCCCCCTGTGCTTTCTCCATCGCTCTGGCTGCATCACAGTCATCTCATCACCCTCCTCTTTCTCCTCCCTCCATCACACTACACTTCCCAGGATGCCCCTGTGGGGGCGGGGCTTGGATGCAGCAGCAGCATGTTTCTAACGCAGGTGGCTGAAGTGGACAGGAAGTTGTTGTAAAGAGAGAAAATGTATGAAACTCTGTGTGTGTGTGTGTGTGTGTGTGTCTCCTCCAGGTAACATCAGAGCGATTCGATCCAAACAGGAGCAACATCAACGGGAGCGGCTTCAGACCGTTTGACATGGTCATACCTTTCTCCTTCAGGAAGGGAGAAATCACAGGTGAGAGAGGGAGCATGAACCAACATACAGAGCAGCTTCTGATGTTTATGAGACTATAACCTGAACTTTTTTCAAATTAAAGACAGACAAATGAACACTGTGCACAAAATTCTGAAAACATGAGGCTCATGTATCAACATGACTCCAAACTGCAAAGCTCCGCACAATTTCATTGGTCACAGCTTTGCAAATCTTGAAACACAAATTGCAAACTTTGGCACAGGGTTTCCCTTTCCCCCCACATCTGCAAACTCAAATGGAAGAACACCTGAATTATGTATCAGGGTGTAAAAGAAGCCATAAGTGACGTTTACATCCACACATATCGGATCGTTCTGATTGGCCAGGCAGTTCTCGCCTGCTGCACGGTCAGGGGGAAAAGTGAACCGGACTTGTTTTGTCTGCCAACCATCCATGTAAACTGTATATTATCTAAAAGAAATGTCAATATTATCAGGCACAATCAGCTGAAGAGTTTAGGAAATGTGTCCAAAATGAAACCCGAACTGATTTCTGCTAACATCACGCTGAAGGAGGTCAAATATAGGAAACAAACACTGATGTGAGAGACTCCAGCAGTAACCATCGATGTTAGTCTTGAAAATCTATGAATGATTTTTGTCTCTTCTCTGTCTTCTGTCTCAGGTGAGGTGCTGATGCCTTCAGGTAAATCTGCTCAGCCTGTGATCACAGATAACCTGGACGGGACAGTCACAGTGCAGTACTCACCGACTGAAGCTGGCCTGCATGAGATGCACATCAAATACAACGGCGCACACATCCCAGGTGACCACACAGACACACATCTGCGCACAGACAGAGTCTGGTGATGGTGAATCTTTGAGTGCACAGCCTCCACTTTTATGATTTTGTTTTTTTACCTTAGTTATTAAAACATGGTTGCAGTTATTTAGAGCCTGATTGAGTTTTGACACTAATTTGGAGTTGTCAAATTTGGTGAAAAGTAATCCAAACTCGAAGAAAGGTTTAGGTCAGATCCAGATAAATCTAAACTAGTGAAAACCTCAGGAATCTGGTTTGAATTTTAGGGGCAAACCTCCACCTGAAAAGGATTGTCCTTAAACTGTCATTACCAAAGCTTTCAGGGATGAATTTTGCCCTTTTATGTTTTACAATAAATAATTGATTGAAGTGTTGGATATCAGAACTAAACGAGGGCAAATATTGAGGCAAACATGCTGAAATAATCCCAGGATGAGACAGAAGGCTGCTCTACATGGCTCATTCAAAAACAAGCTGCAGCTTTAAGATTTCCTTTTCCTTGAACAATGGAAAGACCCTCCTAGAATAAAAGTTCACCCAAGTGTGCAGCCTGAAGATAAATTTTAAAAGCTCTACCTGTTCTTTCATTTTTGTACTGATGTTGTTTTTGGTGTGTTTGATATGTCAGAGTCTCCACTTCAGTTCTACGTCAACCAGTCCAGCAGTGCTAATGTCACAGCTTACGGTCCTGGTCTGAGCTACGGGGTCGCCAACAAGATGGCCACATTCACCGTCTTCACAGATGATGCTTCTGAAGGTACGTTTGTCACAGGAGGAGAAGGGGGGATCTAAAATTGGGAGCTAGAGATAACATTTACTCAGTGATGTACCTGTTCGGAAATATCACTAATAGAGCTTTGATAATAAAGTCATAATTATTACTACTGTAATTGGTAACTCTTTCTTTTATGGTACGCTTATTACCAGGTAATTAACAGGTAATTATGTAGTAACAACATGAAATTATCTGGTAATTACATAATAACTACTAAGTCAATACTGTCTAGTTTTTCTTTTTTTCTTTTTTCTGTGCAGCTCCATTTTCAAAAACTATTTGGGGTTCTGATTTTCTATAATTGACACTTGATACAGCCTATGGGCATGCGAAGATTACGTAGTGATACGCTGTTTGAGCCGAGCGTCATCACAGCGACTCACCCGCCGAATGGGTACAAGACTACTGCGCAAGAGGTGGTTCAAGGAAGTGGAGAAAATCCTGGAAATACCAGAGCAATTCAGCTTCAAATTTGTATGATGATGGAAGGTTACCTACCTGGTAGATAGACAGTATTGACTTAGTAGTTATCATGTAATTACCAGATAATTTGAAGTTGTTACTAGGTAATTACATGTTAATTATCTGGTAATAAGTGTACCGTAAAAGAAAGCGTTACCCTGTAATTATAGTATAAACATCAGCTGATTGCTAGTTTTTAAGTTATAAGTGTTTGAAATTTCACTCCAGTACAAACCCCAGCTTTATTAGTATCGAGTAGTATCAGTAGTCGTGTTTTTAGTCACACCTGTAGCAGAACTTGTAGTAATTTTGAAGGTCATGATGTCGTATGTTAAATAGATCTGGTCAGTCTCGTGTTACAGTGATGTTTACTTCAGTGCAGAATATCGATGTTCTGGACAGTTTTCTTGGCGTGTGTTAAACATCACGGCTGTTTGTCCGTCCAGGTGGTCTGGACTTGGCGATTGAGGGTCCTTCCAAAGCGGAGATCAGCTGCGTGGACAACAAAGATGGAACGTGCAGCGTCAGCTACCTGCCCACTCTGCCCGGAGACTACAACATCCTGGTGAAATACAATGACGATCACATCGCAGGGAGCCCGTTCACCGCCAGGGTCATCCGTAAGACTCACTCACATTTACAGACACAGACCTACATCAACAGGCAGACTGATAGAAATCAAAAATCCTGAAACTTCAACATTTAACTTCTGACTCAGTTCAAATTTCAAGCTTATTTCGAAAAAATTTAAATTTAATTTAAATAAATTTAAAATTTATTTAAAATTTAAAATTTAAAATTTAAAATTTTAATTTTTAATTTTTAATTTAAAATTTAAAATTTAAAATTTTTTAAAATTTAAAAAATTTAAATTTAAAATTTAAAAATTTAAAATTTAAAATTTAAAAATTTAAAATTTAAATTAAAATTTAAATTTAAAAATTTAATTTAAATTTAAAAATTTAAATTTAATTTAAAAATTTAATTTAAATTTAAATTTAGATTAAATTTAAAAAAATTTAAATTAAAAATTAAAAATTAAAAATTTAAATTTAAATTTAATTTAAAATTTAAAAAATTTAAAAAATTTAAATTTAAATTTAAAAATTTAAATTTAAAAATTTAAATTTAAAAAAATTTAAAAATTTAAAAATTTTAATTAAAAATTTAATTTAAATTTTTTTAAAATTTTTTAAAATTTAAAAATTTAAATTTAAAAAATTTTAAATTTAAATTTACAAATTTAAAGCAACTTATAATGATGACATGTAATAATCTCTTCCATAATCTGTGTTTCAGCGGATAACCAGCGGCGCTCTCAGGTCAAACTTGGCTCCGCTGCAGATTTCTCTCTGGACATCAGTGAGACTGATCTGAGCCTGCTGAGCGCCAGCATCAAGGCGCCATCCGGCCGAGACGAGCCCTGCCTGCTGAAGAGGATGGCCAACAACCACATCGGTATAACTGAAGAAAAACAAAAACACACACAGACTCATAAATAGAACAATTCACTCTCTGTAGAGTGATACAAAGTCAAATAAACGTCTTCCATCTTTCATTTGTTTATCTCTGTCTTTCCTCTCTCAGGTATCTCCTTTATCCCTCGAGAGGTAGGAGAGCACAAGGTCAGCATCCTGAAGAATGGCGAACACATCCAAAACAGTCCCATCACCATCATGGTCATCCAGTCTGAGATCGGTGACGCCAGTCAGGTCAGAGTTCGTGGAGACGGCCTGGTTCAGGGAACAACTTTTACTGATGCCACCTTTGTGGTCGACACACGGGACGCAGGTCAGTGTGAACAGCTCTCTTTCAGCACATATTCGAACATTTACATACTTGTCGACGACAGTGTTGATTCAAAGGGTTATTACCGTAGACGTGGACTAATGAGTATGACGTTTACAGTGAAATTTGTCACAGTATTTATGTTTATCTTTGACGATCCTTCGTATTTTTCTTTCTGTACCACTGAGGCTGATAACTGAGTTAACAACACCTTATTATTATTATTATTATCAATGATGTGTCATTAATCGTGCTCCTCCTCTCTCAATGCAGGTTATGGTGGCCTGGCTCTGTCAATAGAAGGACCCAGTAAGGTGGACATCCAGACAGAGGACACAGAGGATGGGACATGTGCGGTCACATACTGTCCGACCGAACCAGGAAACTACATCGTCTCAATCCGCTTTGCAGATGAACACATCCCAGGTAAAAACCAAGAAAAACTGCAGATCACTTTTCAGAGGTGTTTGGAGTTTCTCAGTGAGGGAGAAGCCTCATATTATTTATTTGTTTGAAAACTAATGTGAGATGTAATCTTATCTATCAACAGGAAGTCCGTTCACAGTGCGGGTGACAGGAGAGGGTCGTATCCGGGAGAGCATCACCCGTCGTCAGAAAGCCGCTTCAGTCGCCAGCGTGGGGAGTGTGTGTGACCTCAGTCTGAAGATACCAGGTACACACACACTCACACACAACTACCTCCACATGCATCTGAAGGTTCCTCTGATCATCTTCATGGGTTGTCAGATAACACACACACACACACACATAGCTGCTCCACAGATCAGGTTTGGTTGTTGCAGCTCTGTCATAAACTAACTCACCCTTAAATGACATCTCCTCAGGTTTCACTGTGAAGGTTTTAGAAAGCCGCTGTTATTTTGAGTGACAGCATTTGAATTTCTTGGGTATCCAGCCTCTTTTAATCTTAGGCAGTAAAGTCTTCCTCAGAAAAGAGTCACAGAACAAAAAAATACAGCAAAGGTCATGAAAGTTTCCAACTAAGCAGCGGGCCGTATTCGAGCAGAACTTTGTCATCTGAGCTGATTCTTCTCCTCCTGTCTGGAGCTGTGATATTTCTCTGGTTTGTGTTTTTTCAGACTGCTGCTTTGTTAAATCTGTCTGTTGTCCGTTCTTGATCTCTCCTTTTTGTCCTTTCTTGTTCCAAACTTCGCTCTGCCCTAACCCACCTCTTCGTCTTTGTCTTTTGTACATCTTTTTTCCTTATTTTCATTCATTATCTTTTGCCGTCCTTGTGTTCGTTTTATTTCTTGATTTACCCGCATGACTGTTTTGTCTGCCTTTTTATCCTGTTTCTTCTTGTTTTACTTTTCTAATCTCTTTTCTTTCTTCAGCTTTTCTCCTTTTCCCACTCTGCCTTCTGTCCCTCCACTCTTTTCTGTATCTCTCCATCTTGTCCCCCTCTCCATCCTCCTCTGTATCCAGTGAGCTGGTTCCTCCTGGTCCTCTCTCGACAGCTCCTCTCTTCTTCTCGGTCCTACTGCTCCCTCTGGTGGTCTGGGAGATCCAGAGTTCATAGGAGTCTTTCCTCCGCTGTCGCCCAGGATCAGAACCTCTCCCCGGCCCGTGTGCGCCTCATATCTGGCCTGTCTGGTCTGGTGCTGACAAGCAGGGCAAGGGCAGCAGGGAGCATTTGGGTCAATGATGGCTGCTGCTCAGTGGGCGGGGCCAGGGTGGAGGGTGCGTTGTAGAGCCCTATGGGGATAAAATGCAGGGTTTACTGAACAAGGTTTGCAACACAACATGTTTTAAACAAAGTCTGTGTGTGTATGAGAGCTTCAGAGAATCCTTTTGGTTTTTGGAATGAGCCACAACAACAAGAATAACATGAAAATGTCAAAGTCAGCATTCAAGATTCCCTGCCTTATTTTCATAAAATACAATAAAGTTTGTGAAGTTTGCAAATACACAAAAATAATTATCATACTTCACTTGCAGCGATTGACATGAACGACGTCACAGCTGAGGTCACTTCCCCGTCTGGAGCCAGACAGCCTGCTGAGCTGGTGGCCGCAGGAAACGACACCTACTGTGTGCGCTTCGTACCCACAGAGATGGGTGTGCACAGTGTGAATGTGAAGTACAAGGGTGTGCATGTGCCAGGAAGCCCTTTCCAATTCACCGTGGGACCACTGGGAGAGGGCGGGGCCGCTAAGGTGAAAGCAGGAGGTCCAGGACTGGAGGGAGCGCTGGCAGGAGAGCCAGGTAAATCATTGTTTTTTGATTGTTTTTTTGTTTTTTTTTTCTTTTTATCTTGTTGTTTTGTCTAGTTATGTACAGCACTTTGTTCAGCTGTGGACATTATTACAGACAGACATTATCCTCACAGAGACTTCACACTGAACACATAGTCTGAGGATTATTATAAATCGATGTTTGATTCCTTTTCTTTGACTTCCCAGGGCACATCTTTGAAGGCTGAACTTGACTTTTGAATTAAACTCCATTTCTTTGCTCTAATTCATGTTTTTTTACTTGTTCGCTTCATTGAATCCACATTCAAATCATCCCAACAATAACAGCATTTCAGAGCACCTTGTGAATTTTGGTTTTGGAGAAAGTTGTATATAAATAAGGGTTTAATATTTCCGATTCCCTACCCTTTATACTAGACCGTTTTTTCAGGATCCTGGAGGTAACCTCTTTTTTTTTATCGTTAACAAATCCGACAAAAGACCAAAACTAACAATTCATTTGTTTATCAAAGTGCGGCGATCCATTTTTTTTAACCTTGTTTTCCAAATTCACATGAATATTGAAGTTGTAAACATGATGATGAGCTGCTCCTTAAAGCTTAATGGATAATGATTTGGATGTCCATAGGTAGACCCAATGAGATATCACGCACATCGCTCAATTCCTCATTGCAAAGGCTGGTATCGGTTTGGGATTTTTACTTTTTTTTTTCCCTCTTTCTCAGCCGAGTTCAGTATCTGGACACGGGAGGCAGGTGCTGGAGGTCTGGCAATTGCAGTAGAAGGACCCAGCAGGGCAGAAATCTCCTTTGATGACCGCAAAGATGGATCCTGTGGGGTCGCCTACATCGCCCAGGAGCCTGGTAGAGAAACTTCATACAGTGTGACAGCCGTGATAAACGTTCCTTCAAACGTCTCTCTGGCTCCCTGTTGTCTTCTCACCGTCCACTCTCTCTCTTTCTCTCTCTCTCTCTCTCTCTCTCTCTCTCTCTCTCTCTGTCTCTCTCTCTCTCAGGTGATTATGAGGTCTCTGTGAAGTTTAACGACCAGCACATACCGGACAGCCCCTACCTGGTCCCTGTGGTCGCTCCAGCAAACGACGCTCGCCGCCTCACTGTTACCGGCCTTCAGGTGAGGCATGAGGAGACACCTCCACACTCAGCCTGCCCTGCCTTGCTTAAGGGCCGCGAGGCACAGTTGCATAAAAATGATGATGGCCCAAGCAAAGTAAATTACCCAGATACAAAGCAGAAGAACTGGACACGGGTTCGACTGATTCGGGTTGTATCATAGACTCTGTTTTTTATTTTAACTCTGAAATCAAATATCTGCACATTTTTCTCTTTAAACTATCGCTGTGTAAAACTTGGACAATCCATTTCAACACATTTATAGGCCTAAAATATATGAGTAGAATTTACATTCATAACCTGGAAAGGCTTTTTAAGTTTTGATTTGTTACATTATTGGACATCAGGCTCAGCATCAGCTTTTTACAGCCCCTATTAGCCGAACCCCTCTTGTTGTACTTCCAGTTAGATTTCAGTATCTGAATCTTCTTTATGCAACTGGCCTCTCTGATGTGACCACAGCCAGGCAAAAGTGTGTTTTAAATGTGTGAAGTTGACATGTTGATCAGAGGGAGCTGCTGAAAGAAAAATCATGGAGTCAAAAATGGAAACGATTATCCTTCATCCTTTTCTTGACACAGTCTTAGGGATTAATAACAATTAATTTTAATTACTCACTGAAAATTATACCAGTAAGATAATAAGATATCTGGATGTTGTATTTTATGATAAACCAAATACAGTCAATATTTTATGCTGGATGACAAAGAAAATCTTTAGATTTTGACTGTTTTTAATATAGTGATGAAGATAAATTCACTTTTGCTTGACTCCACATTTTCCATTTTGGAGCCTCTGTGATTTTTTTCTTAGGCATAAACCTCTGAACAAAATGTCAAAGAAAAGTCTCAATAATTTGGCAGACATTGAGTGAAAGGGGAAAACTAAGACAACTTAACTCCTTTTTACAACATTTTATTAATATCAGAGGAGACTAGAATCCTGGTTCTTCCTCTGGAAGTCATACACACTGGATTAAACATTACTGCCTGGTTTGCCTGGCTCTGGTCATCCCTTCTCTGTCTGGTGTGGAACTGCTGGTGTTTCTCTTGTGTTTCATTTAAAGGCTTTTAACAGCACCGTCATCTTCATCATCATCACCCTCTGCAGGAACGTCAGCTCCTGGTTACTCAGCTATAGCAGACAGAGGCCAGACGCAGCAGACCTTCCATTTGTCTGTAGCTGTAGACAGACTGTAGACTACAGCCTTTTCTTTGTTCAGTGTTAATTAACTCTGAATCTTATAGTAAAGTTAACTGGTGAAGTGTTGATCTTATATGAATGTCCTGAAGTTCCTCACATGTCAGCCTTCGGACAAGATCTCATGAATTCTCCGTTTCTCCACTTACTCTCAGTTTAACGAGTAATTTTCACATTTTCATTATTTAAAAAAATACCGTCTCACTGTAGCACTCGGTCCACGTGTCAGATGTAGCTTACTAACACTGTCTGTCTCTGTCTGCTGTAGCAATATTAACAGGAGTCCAGGTAAGGGTAGAAGATAGTCAGCACAACCCATCAAGACAAACAATAGAAATAGATTCAGAATTATTGTTCATTTTAGAGTTCTTTTTAAGATTCTTTTATTTGTTTTTAAATCTTTAAATGGTCTGACTCCATCTTACCTCTCGGAGCTTCTCCACCCCTACACCCCTGCTCGCTCTGTGCCTCAGGTCAGCTGATCAGCTGCTCCTGGAGGTACAGAGGTCCAAACTGAAGCTCAGACGGGATAGATCTTTTTCTGTAGAGAGAGCTACCCCTCCAAATAAGACGAGCCCCTACACTGTCCGTTTTTAAAACTCGTCTTAAAACCAATTTTTATTCATTGGCTTTCAACCCTGCACGAGACTCGGCTCCTGTTAGAGTGTTTTACGGTTTGATTTTTAGTCATTTGTTTCTATGTTTTTAAATTAGTTTTTAAAAACATTGAAACTATATTTTACTTTTTAATATCTGCTTTTATTTTATCCACTGTTTTAATTGTTTTTTTGATTGTTTTTTATGTCCGTGTTGTTTTGTCTATTCATGTACAGCACTTTGGTCGGCTCTGGTTGTTTTAAAGTGCTTTACAAGTAGTAGTAGTAGTTTATTTGTCTCATAGAGAAATTGAATTGCAGCAGATCACACATTTGGCATTTCATCTAGAACAGTACAGATAAAAAATAAAACAGCATGTAGACAACTTCCACACATAATTAAATACAAATAAAGTTGAGTTGAAAGTTGAGTATTGAATAGTAACAAAAAAAAGACCAGTGTTTTTGTTTAGAGCACTTTACTCTTCTGCATAGAGGTGAGTGCAGTTGGAGGTGTGTTATTCAGTGTCACATTAAATAATTAATCTGCTGATTGGTTTCTCAGAGAGCCAATTAGTGTTTTTGTCTTTTTTAATAATGTCAATCACTGCCCCAGCTGGTATCATGGGAAAATCTAGTAATGTTGATAGTCTAAAACTACTATTATTCAACAAATATTTAAACTATTCATTCAAACTTTAATTTAGTTTGTGATTGACTGGTCAATATCTGGATCAGTTTTTGTTGTTGGTTACCGTTTTTTTCTCCATGTACACTGACCGTGTGTCTGAACTTGGTAGGAGTCTGGTCTGAAGGTGAATCACCCAGCATCCTTTGCAGTGCGTCTAAACGGAGCTCAGGGAAGGATGACAGCCAAAGTCCACAGCCCTTCCGGAGCTCTGGAGGAGTGCGCTGTCACTGAGCTGGAGAAAGGTTTGTGTGTGTCCCAGAGGTCCAGAGAGGCCGGAGCCGCTGCCTGTAGTCTTGATGCTCTTCATTAAAATAGTCTCACAATGAATAAAAATCTTAAATCATTCAGAAAATACACAAAAGAAGTGACATCATCTCTTCATTCTGTCCTCCAGACAAGTACGCCGTGCGGTTCATCCCCAGGGAGAACGGTATCCACACCATCGATGTCAAGTTTAATGGATCTCACATACCAGGAAGTCCTTTCCAGGTCAGAGTCGGGGAACCAGGACAGACAGGAGAGCCTGGTCTGGTTTCTGCCTATGGAGCTGGACTGGAGAGAGGCACAACAGGTGGGTCATTTGACATCTTTTCTTGAATGATGTTTATTATAGAAGAAAAAACGTAGCAGGACTGAAGGGGAGAGCAGATCTCAGCTTCAGCAAAGAGATTCATGTAAAAAACAAGTTTATAATCCATGAATTTGGTATCTTTAAAAACAAGGAAACACTGTATTGAAAAATGAACAACGTATGACTAATAAAATTCTTAAAGGGCGGTTTGTTATCAAATAGATTGAAAAGGATCATCAAAAACACGACCTCTGTGGTGTAGAAATGTCAAAGGATACGGTTTAAAGGCTGAATGTGAATTGTGACCTGACAGTTATTTGAAAGAGTGTTAACATTGTGAAAACTACTGAATGTTTGAATCTTGCAGGTACTCAGTCCGAGTTCATTATTAACAACACAAAAGCTGGCCCTGGTTCCCTGGGTGTAACAATCGAGGGTCCGTCCAAAGTAAAGATGGACTGTCAGGAGATCCCAGAGGGCTACAAGGTTCATTACACTCCCATGGCACCTGGAAACTACTTGATCAGCGTCAAATACGGGGGTCCAAACCACATCAGCGGCAGTCCCTTCAAGGCCACAGTCACAGGTAATGTGATGACTCTGCTGAACTCAGCCTAACACCACAACAAAACCCAAAAACTGAAGCAAAAAGAGGAGAAGACCCTCATGTAGTTCTGGAAGTCATTTTTCACCACAGTAAGTCTTCTCAATGAGCGTATTAACCACTCTTTTTCCCTCTCAGGTCCTCGTCTGGTGAATGTGACCAACGCCAGTGAGACTTCCACACTAACAGTCGACCCAGTGATGAGGGCATCCAGCAGCAGCTTCACTCAGAGTGCCATGCCGAGGCCAGGCGACTCTGATGCCAGCAAGGTTCTCAGTCGAGGTCCCGGCTTGAGCAAGGCCTTTGTGGGCCAGAAGAGCAGCTTCTCTGTTGACTGCAGTAAAGCTGGTAAGAAAGACTCCACCTGCAGAACCACCTCAATGTTGGCCTGTGATGAAGCAGCAATAGTCACAGGGTGATCACCGATCTCCAAACAGCTGATCTGATATCACAGCATCTAAAAGCAAAGGCCAGTTTTGCTGGACCTCAGGTGTGGCTAACAGGTTTTTCCTGAGGTGTTGTATCACATGAGGTTGTTTTCCTGTCTACAGCCAGATGAAGTACAACTAGAATTACAAAAAAACACATTTTGCATGTTCAGATGACATTTTATCTTAAAATAGAGAGTAAATTATTAACATTTTTTGATACTCAGTGGTTTACACACGTTTCCATCATGACCTGCCAACCAAAACAATTCCCAGTTTGACCTGCCTCCACAACAAAAATGGTGCAAAACACTGAGATTTGAATCTGTCTTATTGTGATATCTTCCCAAAATGAGTTGCTTTGTGAAAAGACTGTCATTAGACTGAGAGATGGATATATGGTAACCATCTTTAAACTCATACCAGCACTAGTTTTCAGATCCTTAACCTGCTTTTTCCACTTACCCTCCAGGTAAGAACATGCTCCTGGTGGGTGTGCACGGCCCTCAAGTCCCCTGTGAGGAAGTTCTGGTGAAACACTTGGGTAATCTGCAGTACAATGTGAGCTATGTGCTGAAGGAGCGGGGAAACTACATTCTGGTGGTGAAGTGGGGCGAGGACCACATCCCAGGCTCCCCATTCCAGGTCACCGTCCCATGATGCATCAAATAACCTTCCGGCGATCCGCTCACGCCATTTTCAAAGGACTGTCCAATAAACCAAGTTGCTTTCTATGCTTTATGTTATTTCTCTTTCCTGATCAGATGTTTCAGCGACTTTCTGCCTTAAAAAATCTTTGACTTGTCACAGTGTTTTGTAGCCTGTCAAACTGCCCTTTGAAAAGTTGGACAAAAGACAAAATGAAGTCATCGGTGAATGTATTTTGGTAGTTTAACACTCGGTGCAGTGAGTCAGGGAGGCAACGTATTTAAACTTTGTAAGAATTTGACTTGAGCTCGAGCTGTAAAGAAACAACCTGTTAGGACAAAAAAAGATTTAGGCTGCTTGCAAATTGCCCGTTGACAAAATCTTGCACTTCATGATGGTTTTAACACTTTGTTAAGACAAATTAAATTACTGGATTTTACATATAAAAAAATGTCCTGTTTCCATAATGTTAAAACTGGATTTGGGCTGAGTGGAGGCAAAATAACTGGAATTACACAGCACTTTTCTAAAGAAGCAAACCCAACATAAGGGACATATCAATCCCAGAGTCCTGTGAGGTTCATTTTTTGATCGGTTGAGGACCTGGGAGCAGAGTGAGGAGCCTAATCCTGTTGAGTCATCCAGTTTCATCTAGTTGGTGATCTTCCAAAGAGAATCAGACAAATTGACTTAATCTGTGGAGAAATGTTCAGGTAAAATGACAAAGTGCTGTGAAGGAAGCATCTAAATCCAAAAACTGCAACACTCTGTTCTGTTTGTTTTGAAGTGTTAACTGGTCGGACTTGCTTTGACTGGAGTGTCTTATTGTCCCTAACTACTGATGTTTGTTGTTGATTTTTTGCTCTTGAACCGTAGACGTCACAATCCCACTACAATACACAAGGTTGCCAAAACAAATCAGTGACTGTTAAAGCTGCCTTCACACCACTGGATGCTGCACTGTACATTAGACTACTTAGTTACCTGGTAGAGCTGCAGTCTGCCCCTACAGCTGTTTTCACATGACTTTATCTGACTTTAAACTGTGTGGCTCAGTGTTGAAATGTTTACCTTAACAGGACAGAGATCTCACTATTTTATGGAGTTAAAGTCATGAAAGATTATCACCCTCCATTTCCAGTGAGTCTCTTAAACAGACAGGTGTCATCAGACATAAGCCTTTCAGTCACTAAACACAATAAAAATACATCATTCCATCTGAGCTGAAAGACTGGAGGTCAGATTTTTGTTTTGTGTGTCAATCCTGCAGACAAATCTGGATGAATCTGCGTCAAGTTGTTTCCTATCATTGCTACTTTTGATACTTGAGGGATACGAGGATTTTTGTATGGGAAAACAAAACCTTTCATTTTGTATTAGGGAATGGGTGTTCTAATGTGAAACTAAAACATGAGATGGTGTACATTTGATAATTAAAATAAACTGGAATTAAGTGACTCCAGATTTTTATTTGTTGGATTGAATCATTTCTTGAGCAGTATATTCTTACACATACACTACAGGCCGAAAGTTTGGAAGCAAGATCAGATTTGTACAAAAAAAGATCATAGTTTCATATATATAATTTGCAACACAATAAACATGACTATTGTGTAAAGAATAACTTATCAGAAGACATTTTTACTAAAATTATTAGGTATTTGAGTTATTGTTGCTTAGACTTTGCTTTCTTTAAAGTAACCTCCTCTGGCTTTAACAACAGCTTGGCATATACCAGGCATTCATTTTTCTCATTGGAGAAAGGTCTGGAGACTGAGGGGGCCAAACCACCTTTTGAAGAACACCTTCCTCTTCTCTTTTGTCTTGGTAACCCTGACAGAGCTTGGCAGAGAGCTTAGGGTCATTGTCTTACTGCAAAACAAACTTATGAGCCACAAGTCTGAGTCCAGATGGAGCAGCATGGTGCTGGAGGATGGAGTGGTACTGTTCCTTCTTCATGATACCCTTTACTTCAAACAAATCTCCAACTCCATCACCTGCAAAACATCTCCATACCATGGAACTACCACCTCCATGCTGCATTGTGGGTGTAACACATGGAGCTTTCAGACGTTCACCAGTTTGTCAGCGGACATAGACTCTGCGTTTTCAACCAAACAGTGCGAACTTGTTTCTATTCATCATAAGTCCAATTTTTGTGAGCCTTTGCCCAATCATATCTCTTTTTCTTGTTCTGTGGACGAAGAAGTGTTTTTTTTTTTAATTTCACAAGTTTCTCCTCCCCTGGTTCACGCTGCAATTTAAAAAAGAATCAGTAAAAGGTCATCACTCTGACATGGTGTTGAATTGTGTAGCCACTCTCTTGCCACTCTGCACATTGTCATTTGAATGAATCTGCAACAACATGTCATTCAGGGGGCCCCTGGCAGCTTACTGGTCCACTTGAACCCCACACCAGTCTACTTCCCACGATCAAAATGATTGAGAAAATGTTTTTGAGAGGAAAATATGAGCACTGGCAGTGAACCCAACTTCAGCTGAGAGAGCTTCTTTACACAAGGAAGACTTGATACAGAAATAAGACTCTTTAATCTGCTGAGTAAGTGCTTTGAACTCTCACAACAAGCATCACAGATGTGAAAAAACTTTAAAGTATCTTTGTCGTAAAGAAAAAAATAACCTGCCCATCACAAGACGGTCTCTCCTGTCATGCAACCACAGCCACTGCGAAAGCTGTCTGTAATTATGGTGGAGACCAAGAGGATGTCCACTTTGCAAACAAATATCTTATAAACTGAACCATCTGTTAGTTTGGTATTAAAAACGTGTAAGGCCTTTAAACTGACAAGGACAGACAAGAGACCATTATTAGACTGAAACTCTGGGGTCAGCACTCCAACTTAAACTCTTCGGTCTGGATCATCAGCAGTGGATGTCAATCTGAGTACCAACAGGAAAAGGCTGAAAAACAAAAATACTTAAAAGAAATATTAAAGACGTTAAAAATCCTCACCTGTGGTTTAAGAATTTTCAAGTTCATCATTAAAATATGGGTGTTAAGTGCACCCAGAAATGCCTTTGACAAGCTGGAATAAGAGGTCAAGCAATGTTGAGCTTTAGAAAAGGGAAGAGGATCTGTATGTATCTGAGATTCTGAATCTCAATGGGTTTATTTCCTGGTTAAATAAAGGTTACTAACTAACTAACTAACTAACTAACTAACTAACTAACTAACTAACTAACTAACTAACTAACTAACTAACTAACTAACTAACTAACTAACTAACTAACTAACTAACTAACTAACTAACTAACTAACTAACTAACTAACTAACTAACTAACTAACTAACTAACTAACTAACTAACTAACTAACTAACTAACTAACTAACTAACTAACTAACTAACTAACTAACTAACTCTGACTCACCAGAAAACCGGACAAAATTTTTTTTCTCTTCCTGCCGGATAAAAAAACAAACACCGAACGGAGAGAGACGCCAAGATTTAGTGTCCTTTGAATGTGGGGAACTTCAACAGGACGGGACAGCTGTGAGAGAAAATATGAGAATACCCAAAAACTGAATCTTAATTCTGCAGCAGAGAGTGACTTTAAAATTTCTCCAAGCCGCAACTCAAAGTGAAAGTAAGTATGAAAAACTTTCTGAGAGGAGATGAGGTAAGTGGAGTAACAACTGACTGATTGTTTTCTCTTTTCTTTTGTTGTGTTTCAGTTGTCGTTTCAGAAAGAAAATGTCATCACAAACAGAAAAGGATCTCCTGTGCCCTGTCTGCCATGACATCTTCAGACTTCCTGTGTTCCTGTCATGTACCCACAGCTTCTGTAAAGACTGTATTAAACAATGGTGGCAAGAGAATCAGATACAGGTCTGTCCAGTTTGTAAAGAAATATCTCCACAAAGTGATCCACCCACAAACTTGGTGTTAAAGAACCTGTGCGAAGCCTTCCTACTGGAGAGAGAAAAGTCTAAAGCTCTTTGTAGTCAGCACTCAAAGAAACTCAGACTCTTCTGTCTGGACCACCAAGAGCCTATCTGTGTCATCTGTCGCGACTCAAAGGCACACAACAAACACACGTTCTTACCCGCTGACGAAGCTGCAGGAGATCACAGAGAGAAGCTGGAGAAGTTTCTGGAACCTTTGCAGGATAAAATGAAACTCTTTGAAAGCGTAAAAAGAAACAGTATTCAAACAGCTGAGCACATTAAAGTCCAGGCCAAGATCACAGAGCGTCACATTAAAGAGCACTTTAGGAAGCTGCACAAGTTTCTAGAGGAGAAAGAGGAGGCCAGGATCTCAGCTCTGAGGGATGAAGAGGAGCACAAGAGTCAGGTGATGAAGGAGAAGATTGAGGGTCTGGATGAAGAGATAGCAGCTCTCTCAGAGATAATCAGAGCCACGGAGGAAGAGCTGAAAGCTGAAGATGTTGCTTTTCTGAAGAACTACAAAGCTGCAGTGGAAAGAGTCAAACAGCGCCCCCTGCCAGATGATCCAGAGCTGGTCTCAGGAGCTCTGATAGATGAAGCCAAACATCTGGGTAACCTGAGCTTCAACATCTGGAAAATGATGAAGGAGAAGGTCTCCTACAGTCCTGTGATTCTGGATCCAGACTCTGCTCATCCTGAACTCGTCCTGTCTGAAGATCTGACCAGTGTGATCTTTGGAATAAGACAGGAGCTCCCTGATAACCCGGAGCGCTTTGACCACTACCCCATCGTCCTGGGCTCTCAGGGCTTCAACTCAGGGAGTCACAGCTGGGATGTTGAAGTCGGAGACTGTAAGGACTGGAAAGTTGGCGTGTTGGAGGAATCTGCCCAGAGAAAGGGAGAGCCTCTGTCTGGACTGTGGAGAATTGGGCTCTATGATGGAGTCTACTCAGCGCGGTCACTGCCAGAATCCTCCACCGTTCTCTTTCTGGACAAACCGAAGAAGATCAGAGTTCAGCTCGATTTTGACAAAGGAAAGTTATCATTCTCTGATCCTGATACCAACACACAAATACACACCTTCACACACACTTTCACTGACAGACTGTTTCCATACATCAGCAATCTGGATAAATGCCCTCTGAAGGTCTTACCACAGAAGTGACCGTTATTCGATTTGATAACCATCGATGGTCTGTCAACAAAACTACATTTTCTTCACCAAGAGCTTTATCACCTACTGCTTTAGTCCATAACTGTTAACACGACATCAGTCAAATTGAGTATTTGAGAAATAACACAAAAAAACAAATCAAAGTATAAACAATAACACCTTACTGACATTCTTCTGACTGAGCTGGGCAGAGATGAGACAAACTATTGTCAACTGAACTTCAAAAGAATGATCACACTGCTGGTGAGAAGTATTGATAATAGAATTAGATAAGAGATCCTAAATGACTTGAACACACAGCTGTTTGTTTTAATGTGGGATTAAACTGCTCAAGTGATGTCATGTCACCATCTATCTATCTATCTATCTATCTATCTATCTCTCTCTCTCTCTCTCAACCTAAGCAGAGTTGCAGTGTCAGAATATTATTGTTATCATGGGCTTTAAATCAGCTTTACTTTTGTATTGTGAGTTAACATTTAATGTACAACCCTAGTGCTGTACATCAATGAGTTATAAAGTCCTGAATTATGAATTTTACCTTCTTTTTATCGAGGTTATCGGTCCTTTGTCAGTACTTTATTTTAACCCTACCTGAAGTCTATAATGGTTGTTGAAAAGGAGGATTCAATGATGCATTTTCTTAGAAATTTGATGTAAATAAATTAAAATGTAAGAAACCAGTTAAATCCTAATGTATCATAAGAGATCCTAAATGACTTGAACACACAGCTGTTTGTTTTAATGTTGGATTAAACTGGTGTGTTATTTACTGTATGTCTCTATCTATCTATCTATCTATCTATCTATCTATCTATCTATCTATCTATCTATCTATCTATCTATCTATCTTCTCAACCTAATAATCATTCAGCAAATCACAGAGCACAATATAAATTGGCTGATGTGTAATCTAAATGGGAAAATGTTTATGTTTCTTATTATTTTGTTGTTTGTTTGTTTGTTTGTTGAATGTAGGATCATTCCATTGATTTTATTTTCGCTAAAACTCCAGTGAAATTTAGTTTGTGATATCTCCTTATTTGTAATGATTTGGTACCTTAAATGTGTTTTGCCTCTCTAATGTAAGAGTTTGGTAATGTTTTAAATCTGTCACATTGGATATATGCTTTTTTTTGGTGTACTGATTTCCAAAACCTTGTTCAGAAACTAAACTTAATGCAGATTTTTTTTACATATTCTGTCAGCCTAATCCTCAGGATACAGGATGGGTTTGTGTTAAGTTAAAAATAGATGAATTAAAAAACTGCACTCATAATTTCTTGTATGGAGTCCAAACTTAAACCCTGTGTAACTCAGAGTAGTGTAGGATATTTCTGTTGGATTTGTGGTTTGTTGAATGTAGGATCCTTCTATTTTTCTGTCTGAGCTGTTACATGATCTCTGATTCGAATGGTCAAATCTGCTCATGAAAAATAAATAAATAAATAAATGTAGGACTGATGGAAATGCAACAATTTTGTAAGTTTTGTTTCATCAGTTTCTGAACCTGTTGGCTATTTCTGTTGTTGCAGTCTGTGCACACACACACACACACGCACGCACGCACGCACGCACGCACGCACGCACGCACACACACACACAGGTCAAGTGTCTGCAAACCTGATACTTTGATTGGATATTAATGAACTCCTGGCCTGAGATCATTCAGAGAGTTGTTTACCTGATACTTTAGAGTTTTTAGAGAGTGAGCCACAGTAGGAAATGTTACACACCACAACACTGAAATATTCATATCTAATCATGATCTGTCCATCTTTGGATTGGTCGGCCTGTCAGTCGTGACGCAAGCCTGAGGGCAGGGATATTTGGCGAGTCAACCAGGAAGTCCTCTGAAGGGTAGTGTGTCCCATTTCACAAACCCCGGACCATCTCACTCAGAGTACTCAAGTCCACATAACGACAGAGCGCTCAGCTAAGCAGTATGCAGTCTCTGAAATGAGACACAGCCTGAATTTGAAACTGAATTTGAATTTTGCGAACTGAATTTGAAACAGAAGTAGTTTTGGGTCCTTCTTCTCAGGGAGCACCCTGAAGCTCTGGACGCTGCTCGGAGGTGAGAATTTAAATTGAGAATTTGTGCTTAGTGTCAGGTTGATTTTCATTGAAAGCTTTAGTATTTAACTCTGTTATATATGTTTGTTTTATACCTGGTTGTCATGGTTTTGACAATGAAGGGATTTTTCTTATTCATAACGACTCATTGAAATACCACATTATAGCTTTATTCTTAAAATCCTAGCCTTTGGAAATTCAATTGATTCAAGGATACGGCCAGGTACCAAAAAACAAACAAAATTAGAAAAATTAAAAAAAACACCAATTAACCCAAAGAAGTGTAAATAATTTCCTCAGAATCCAAAAGTGAATATCTACGTGGATTTGGAGCTGAATCTCAGTGTTATTTTTATGTTTTGCACTCCTCTAAAGCTGCACTGCTTGAGGCTTTGATTTGATGTTTCTTACTGAGGTGCACAAAGAGTACCAGAACTAATTAAACTATTTACTAAACTGTCCTTTTTTGTTTGTTTGTTTGTTTTTAGCAAGAGATGCGGTACCTTTTGACGACCCAGAGCCAGAACTGCTACAGAGAGCAGATCAAGAAGGAGATGTTGACCCGTCTGGCCTGGAAGAGACGCTATGCTGATCTTTATCCCTCCTGCAATGAACACCCACGCACCAGAACAGGAAAAACACAGCTTCCACATCTACCTGCAGAAGAGAGGTGAGCTGACGTTTCATGTGTCGGTTGAATTTGATCCATTTACAAAAAAAGAGATTTTTCTTTTTTTTTCTGGATAAATCGCTCCAGAAAGTTTTATTGGAGATGAAGGTAAACCTTAAAGATGTTGATCAGTGTTATATTTCTTTTTGATTACAAAATAACAAATGTCAGTTTATTGAATCCTCATTTTTGTTAAATCCTGTAAATACGTGACTCTTCATATTAAAACTGACTAATATTCTTTTAAAACATCAGACTTGTGCTCCCTGCTGTATCCAGAACACCAGAGAAGATGAGCGATCCTCCACCTCCTCCTCCTCCTGTCGTCCCCTCAGAGGAGGAACAGCGGCTCAGCGCTCCCCCCCTGATGAGACCAGTTTCTCCAAAGTCCAGAAACACTCTCTATCAGGACTCCTCCCACCATGTGTGAACCTCTGATTTTAACTGTCCTGCTCTTTTTCTTCTCACGATTTACATCATTAAAAAATAGTCATTGCTTCATACTTCCAAACTTCTGTCCACATACAGAACATTAATGATGTTTTAAATAAATATCTCTTACAGGGGAAAGGACGCCGTCTGTACCTGCAGAGACGAGGACAGATCAAACCTGAGGAGAGGTTTGACTTCCCTGTCCTCTCGTCCTGGGAGTACGGGTGGAGGCTGGGTAAGATCAGGACACTGTAGTTATAATCTCCATCTGTTAGACCACAAACTCGAATTTTTCCTCACAGCATGGAGTTCTATAAGGGGAAAATACAAATATTTCCTTTTTTTAATGTTAGTTTTATGATGTTGCATGAAAAATAAAAAGTTTGACTTATGATCTGTGTGGAACTGAAAAAGATGGCAAAAGAGTTTGTCCTTTTAAGACCTCCTGACAACCTCCATGATACGCCAACTCTACTAATCGAAATTCATAATAACTCATAAAAAACTGTCCGAGTCAGGGCAACTCACGAGGGTTGGGTGTGAGTCGATGTGAGCACACTTGTCCTGCATCCCAAAGTATTCTGTTGACATGTTCTCGGTCCTTCAGCTCAGTCTTTAATCGAACCAGAAGTAGTTTTGGGTCTGTCTTCTCAGGGAGCATCCTGAAGCTCTGGACGCTGAGGAGAGAGAAGGGAAATCAGATGGTTGATGATTTAAGTGAAAATAGAGAAAACTTCACAGAGATCAAAGTCTAATCACATCAAACACTTGTTACATCTATGTTCATTTTAATTGAGTTGAGGACTTGAGCACAAACCAGTCTTACAATAACTAGATGTCAACATGTTCTGTGTGATAAATTTCTACAGTTTGTCCACAGCTCCATAAGCTTTGCTGGAGGAGGCGGGATTTATGACCTGTACTGCAGCCTGCCAACAGAGGGTGCTGTTCTCCCAGCAAGGAGGCAGACTCTGTCCATTCTTTATACAGTCTATGGTCCATTCCCATGTCTACTTCTGTAAAACTTGTCACCTTAAAAATTTCTTTGAACATGATAATATGTTATTTTAAAAATCCTCCTTACGATTGATTCGAGAAATGAGTCATTCAGATCGAAATTGACTCTTTTGACTCTTGGAGGAAACTCTTTTAGAGATCTTTATATCTGTCCAAATTTGACTTTTTTATGAGTCTAGTGTTTCTGTAGCTGTTTTAAACCAGACTTGGTCTGAATTTATTGGAGCCAGCCTCCTTCCTGCATGTTTTACAGAGCAGCTCTTTTCTCTCCACATTGACATTTTCTCCCTGTATTCACAGGTGACTACACTCTCAATTACAAGACTCCGTCCCGAGCCAAGTTCTCTGTAGTGAAGAACACTTTCTACGCCAGGAACGGGGTTTTCAGCAGCCCCACAGCCACAGACATGCTGGGCTGAAGTTAAACTCAGAATGAAATTATGACGTTGTGATAGGAGGAAGTGTTTACAAAGTCCAAAAATGTCCCAGTGATTCAGGGCCATTACAGAAACTGTGGTCATGTGTTGTGTTTGTTGAAACAAAATTAAACTTTAATACTTGTTAAATTCTCTTCTTTGTGTCGTTTCCATGTGATTTGAAGTCTAGGTTTCCTTTTACAGTAAAACTGTATTATCTGTGGTTACACACACACACACACACACACATACAGGTGTGAGGTCAAGTGTCTGCAAACCTGATACTTTGATTGGATATTAATGACCTCCTGGCCTGAGATCATTCAGAGACTTGTATACCTGATACTTTAGAGTTTTTAGAGAGTGAGCCACAGTAGGAAATGTTACACAGCACAACACTGAAATATTCATATCTAATCATGATCGGTCCATCTTTGGATTGACCACAAGGGGGCAGTTTGTTTCTCAAATGCAACTTCTTCAATGAAACGCTGGAGACTGGAAACAGTACCAGATTAAACTGATTTGTTTAAGGGAAGTGTTACTTTGCATAAAAAGTAAAAGCCGTTTAGGGTTTCAGTTTTGTTTGCAGATTATAGATTTGTCCTTCAGAGGTACAAAATCAGGAAGTAACTGTCTCTGTACACCACACATAAAAAAAGAAAAGTAAAAGAGACGCTGTTGTACCATTTTAATCAAATTTGGTTTCATAAAGTCTTCAAACTGTCTGTGATGTTATGAAATCATTTTATTGATCAGAATGTGGAGCTTTAACTCAGTGGGAAGAGGAGGAAGCCGGTAAAGGTGTGGCTGGTGGTCTGGCCCGTCACAATGTTGTTGTACTTGGTGAGCTCCAGTGACACCGTCTCCCCAACATTCAACTCCAGCATCATTGAACCCGACGTGACCAGAAAACCTTCGGCGATTTCGCACAGCTGCAGCTGAGCCTCAGCGCCCTTCATCAGTTTCACACACACCTGGATGAGTCAAAGAAAAACAATCAGGAGCAGAAACATCCAAAGTTCAAGAGACGAAGGTTTGCCCCACGCCTGGTCTTTTTCTCCTTTTTCTTATGAGCATAAATGCTGCAGTAACTCAACTGTTATGTTGTACATCTTGTGTCAGGAATCTAGGTGAGATATTTAGCTAGTGTGGCTGTTGTCTGTTGGTTTTCTGTGTCTACATTTAATAGCATGGGGAGGGTCTGTATTGTAGGGTTAAATGAACAAAATTCATGAAAAGATGAGCCTGAAAGTGAAGAGAAATCTTAAAGACTAGAAATAAAGTGACAGACAGATACACCTGTTTTGATTTTTCCTTTTAGACTCACTCTGCTTTTTGCTGAAATGTGGTAACTGAAGAAATAAATGCCTCTGGCGCTGCTGGTGTACGTCCCATTAGTCAGTGTTTCCCCTTGTAACTCTTGGTCCAGGTCAGGCAGGATCTCTCTGTGGGATGTTAACACATCAGACATGAAATACATTAGATTTCATTCATTTTTTCACCATTACTGTCGAGTTATTTTTACTTATCGAGATGATTTCCACTAAATTTAACTTCATCTCTTGTGTATATTTTAGACTAAATCTTTGGTTTTTATCTTCTCTTTTATTTAGGAGTTGTTATTCTGTAAAACTAGAAGGACTGACTTGTTGAAGTCCAGGGTTGTTTCCTCATCCTGAGCCTCTAGTAAATCCCGTTGGTAGGAGAAGAACGTTTTCTGTACGTTAGAGGGGTGGAAGGGTCTCCCCTTTTCTCCCGGCCGGCCTGGATCACCAGGGGATCCTGGACGACCCATGTCCCCCTTTAGCCCCGGCCGTCCAGGAGGGCCCTGCATACCTTGTGACCCCCTCTGACCTCTGAGAGGTTGACCTGCTTCACCTGCTCAAACAACATACAACACGTGACAGGGTTGTTAGTAGGAGCTGAAACAAAACTGATTGGTTGGCTTTATATTCGTTATATTAAATTTAACACAAACAGAGGAAAGACTGTAAAAAGAGTGACTCCCACACTTGTGAAAAAAAGCTAAAAAATACCAGAAAAATGTCATGATTGTTAAATGCGTTCAGTGTTGTTGTGTCCAGGACGATCTCACCTGTGTCTCCTTTTTCTCCTTTCTGACCATCTAACCCATTGGGACCATGTGTACCAGGTACTCCAGGAATCCCAGGATATCCACCGCCGCAGGACTGTGTGAGGCCTGGATTAATGTGAACCAAGAGCAGGAACACTGCAGTACTGCAGCTCAGCCACCAGAGGGCCTGAATCAACACACAGTCACACAAACACGGGTTAGTGTGGCTTAAGGGGACATTGTTGTGTTTTAGTATCTGGACACTGGGAATCAGAGCCAGGTCTTAAAGTTAGACCTTAATCCTAATTGGAAATCAAACTTAAAAACTAGTCTTATCCTTTAAATTTAGTGTTTTGTTTTTTCCTCATTGGGACATGAAGAATTTTCCTTTGTTGACTCAGAGGTTCTGATATGAGACTTGGCCAGTAAAATATAAACAAGACAGCGAAGTTACCAGCACATTTATGATACAAAAGAGACATTTGCTGAGCATGCAACGACCAAGAAAACATCTATTTCTCCATCAAACTCTACTTTCTTGGATATATTCAACGCCTTGATTCATCATTCGTAAATCATTTGGAAAAGACACTGTATGATTTTGAAATGTCGGTATTATAAACTCTCTAAAGTTCTGGTTGTCTCCTATGTCAGGTTTTTTTTCTACTAACTTTTATCATCATGTATTTTATTTTTCAAGCTTTTTTGTAAAACAATCCAGGTTCACACTTAGACAAACATAGACATATTTATGCAACACAACCAACTACTTTAAAATCAGCAATGTTTTAAAGACAACAAAACTTCTTCTCTCTCTTTCTCAGTCCACATAAAGTGTATCTTTTTCCTTGCCTGTTCTTTAATTTTAAAGATCATAAAATTCTCACCATTTGAAGGTAGTGCAGTCACCCGTGCCGCAGTGATAAGTTGATCCAGTGCACAGATGAGGAGCTGTTCTGCTTCACAGAGAAAGCAGCACAGCAGTCAGGAAAAAACAGGAAGTAAAAATGTTGAACTTACAAACTCAAGAACTAATTCGAGTCACTTAAAGACCAGATGTCATTGCTTATAGTTGTTGTCGCCCATATTAGAGGTGTTATGTATATCTTAATACAGGAGTCTTTCAGACAAAATACATGAAAAGCATATGAATATGTACAGTTAGAATATGAACTAAATAAATATGACATGAAATATGTCAAATTTGCTCCATCGTCACCAATTACAATGATAAAATGCTAATAACCGAGTGTGTAGTTATAACATGAGATGTGTCAAAGTAAGAACATTTTATCCATGTACCATATTTAAGCAACAAGGCAGTTCAAAGAGATTTATTTATGGCATTAAAAGAGTCGTTTTAAAGGTCAGGCTCAGACTAATCCAGTTATTTTACTGAATTTAAAGTTTCTTTTTGAAAACTTTCAGTGTGATTTCGTCTTAGTCTGAACTCTTATAAAAAAGTTTTAAACTTAGGACTTCTGTCCAGGATGGTTTGTTGTCATATTTTGCATTTCTTTAAATAGTCTCAATTGTCCTAAAGAACTTACGAAATTTTTTTCTTTTAAATAAACTCCATGCTTAGAAAAAAAAGATGTTCATTTGGCCGCCTGTTGATGATAATTTTGCTCCAAATGTATGTTTATGTATGTGGTTCATTCAAATATTTGCAAACATCAGCTCACAGAGTGCGATTTGTGGGGTGTTATAACTTTTGCAAAAACAACTTGTCAGGTACAAACTTTGTTTTTATAAACCTATGTATTTCATATAGGTTGTTCTTCCGTACAATATTATAGCCCGTCTTTTTTTAACTTTGCTCCCTCTCTGAAGCTCTTTGGAACTTTCATTTTAAAGAGGACTCTATGAATGATGGTTACTATATACAACTATAACCTCACTTTCTTACCTGTCACCTGGCCGTGTTAGATGCTTGATTTTGAGAAGTCAAAACTCCATTAAACGGGTCTGGCATGTGCATTAAGTTAATGATAACATTTTTGCTCTGCTATCAAGTGAAAAATACATCAACTAAATTGAAGAAAAAATACATTGATTGATTGATTGATTGAAGTTTATTTTGAACATATAAAAAAAGAAATAATAAAAAAGTAAAGAATACAACAACAAATGACAAAATGTTATTCAAGTTCAAAAAGGAGTGGGAAGAAGTCAAGACTTATCTAGTCCCACCCCTTGTCTACACTAATGGTTTAAATATATATCATATATATCATTATATAATAATATTAACCAACTACAAACAATGACAGGTTACAGGCTTTGTCAGTGTAGGTAGACCGGTTGAGTAAGAAAGAAAGTTTGTCACCAGTTTGGTCACTGTGGGTTTGAGATCTTTCACCTTCATTTTTTCCTTTTTTTTTAATTAAACTTATCACACACAGCATTTTTCTCTTAGGAGGAAGTGAAAGCTTTAAGAGAAGTTAAGTAAAACCCCACCTAAAAACAAACTGATGAAGAAGCATTTTTTAATGTTTATGATATTAAAAAATTCCCATTTTGTTCTGTTTTTCTCTGAACTTCCTCTCTGCTGTTTTCAACTTCGACTGGTTTCCTGGCAGTTTGTTGTTGTTGCTCCAAACAGGAGTTTGGGCGTCAGTATCTGTTCCACAAATTATTTGATTTCCTCCACAATATTTGCCAAGAAAAACCTGATACACTGAATGTTTTTTTTAATTTTTATAATGGCATCCTGTTAAATTTGCCAGTGTCTGTTTCTGATCCTCTTTTGGGTTCTCACGGTTTGGTCTGGCGGTGGTTCATGCAAAAGTAAAATGCAATCTAAAAGTTTGTGAACATGACAGAAATGCTCAACTGTTGTTGGGAATAGACAAGAAACACTTCACTTTGTGTAGTCCACAAAGCTCAAAGCAGTAAACCTTAATATATAGATAACTCTTGTCTTTATTTGACTGACTTCTCTCAGTTTTAAGAAAAAGACTTCGGTTTATCCATCAACTTGGATTTTGTTTTTAGGGTCAAAACGGAGAGGGGGGAATTATTACTACAGTTAGTCATTTGTTAAATGTAATCAATTGTTATATTTCGGAGTTGCTCGAGTTTCTGAATGAAGTCAATAATGTTTACCAGCATTTGCTGAGTTGCAGAGTTTTACACCCACAAAACCTGTGCAAAAGCCAAAAACTCATCGACTAAATCACAAAGCATATGCAAAAGTTATAACACCCTGTGAGCTGATGTTTGCAAATATTTAAATGAGCCAAACTCACAAACCCCAGTGCTAACAGCTCTGCAGAGTTCAGATAGAGGCTGTGTCTGATCATCTGTAAGTCTTGTGATGCTCAACTCTACAGTGATCAAAACAACAATTCAGAGACCTACCCATTCATTAATAGTAAACAGAATTTGGTTAAACCTTCATTATCAAGTAACTATACAAAATATGTGTACTTTCCAACAGGAAGTGAGCTGGATATAAATGGCAGTATTTGTGCCGCATCCATCATGACAACAGTAAACAGGTTCAGACTTTCCCTCTACATCTGCTTGTCATTGTTTTGTGGACAGACTTTAGCGCTGTCAGGGAGAGAGTGCACAGTACAGCTCAGTGCAGCAGAGAGTGGAGATGCTGACAGCTCATTTCAGTCTTTAGAAGCTGCAAAACAGGAGCAGAGCTGCAAAATTTTGTAAATGTTTTTAAAAATTAATGTCCAGACTTTTGTTTTATGAATTCATCCCTGAGTTTAAGCAGAAATCAGAGGAAAATTACGCACATTTTTCAGTTTAAGATCCAGTTAAATTTGTGTTCTCATTCTGTAAGGCCAGATCATCTGCTAATGTCAGCTGTTACTGAAATCAAGAACTGTTTTACTGCTCGTACAGATAAATAAAAAAACCCACTCTGAATTATTTTATTTTAGGTTTTTTTTAATTTTTGAATAACAGTTGATATTATTACTCTTCCCTTTCTGGATGTTAAATTTAAACCAATTAAACTTTGTGTTATAAGTCGTTAATCTTATAAATCTAGAGAAGCTGGCACTTTAAAAAGCTTCATTTCATGTAGAGATCACAGGACTGTGAAAGCAGTTCTCTCGGTCAGTTCAATTCTGCTAATTTTATTGTTTTACGTTCACTTGACAGAGATTATACATACAGCTCCATCTGAAACATGACTTGGTTAAAAGGACAATGAGACATAAAAATGGAAAGAAGTAAAAGTTTTCTTTAAAAAGTTTTAAAGCTCTTCACAAATGATGGTAAGATGGTTTTAATCTTTATTTTCTGTTTTTTCAGCCATTCTTGGTCAACAAAAATGATGTAAAACACTGTTTGATAAGTCTCGGATCAGTGGGCTTGCAGCAGGAAGCCGGAGAAGACGCTGAAACCACTTGGTTTTCCTCTCATCCCTCTGTAGTCTTTAGTCTCCAACCAGAGCTCCTGATCTCTGGACATGTAGACCGCCATGCCTCCTGAAGTCACCTGGAGTCAGAACCAGATTTTAACACATGGAGCATCTCTGAGTAAATTCAAACGTAATCATAAAGTTGGCGCGAATTCAGGATGAAGTTTAGATTATACTCTCAAGGTTTCTCCAGTTTAGAAGATGGACAATAACATCTTATTTGCTTTATTCTGTGAATTTGATGGTACCTGTTTCCTGGTGCGGAAGTCGCAGAATGTCGTCACCACTTGGCCATCGAGCTTCATCGCCACGCACAGCCGGTCGTCTAAAGAGGCGTGGAACACAAAGTAGTACGTACCGGGGATACGACACCTGCAACCCCATAAGAAACCAGATGACAGTTATGAAAGCTGATTCTTCCTGAGATACGTCAGCATCAGAGGGTGTTTTTCTCACCTGAAGTGTCCTGTCTCTGTGTTGTAGTCGTTGTTGATGTTGGTGATGACCTTTAAGAACCGAATCACGCTGAACTTGTTTGGGTACTCGTTGGTTGCTCTGGCCACGCTAAAGGCCGCTTTCTCCTGGTCTCCCATAGTCCTGAAAAATATTTTGTCTCATCACTGAAACGTTGTAAATTCTGCAGAGTGCTTCACTCATTTAGATGAAGATGAGATCAGAAGTGGTCTGATCTTAGAGGATAGGGTCCCAGAGGATAACTTCATGGGTTTGTGGTTAGCCCTTAGGTTTTACCATCCCTGGCCAACCCTATGAACTTATTACCCCAGTTTGGCCACTCTAGTTGAACAAGTCTAGTTCCAACCTTGACCCCAACTCTTGATTTTAAAGCTGTAAATCCTACAAAGTTACAATATAAGTGTGGCGGACTAACACCCAGACTTTGGGCCATACAGTGCCACACCCCTAATCATGCAAATGCATCATCACTTGAGATCGACGTTCCCCAAGTGGACACTGGAGGAACTGCAGTTTTTTCCAGATATCATCAGTTCTTATTGAGTAGACTGCAGTGAAGCTGAATTAAGGATGACTCAACAAAAATAGGTTACCCTGGTTCTCCTGGTTCTCCTGGAGGTCCGGGCTTGCCCGGGTCGCCTGGTGTTCCCATATCCCCGCTCGGACCTCGTTTACCAGGGTATCCCACCTGCCCCGGCTCCCCCTTCTGTCCTTTCTGAGGGTGGAGACCACCACTCAACACCGCACCTGAAACGATGGACATGAATATCTTTTTGCATCAAATCATACGTGACTCTGAAACCAGTGGCCAACCAGTGTGTGTGTGTGTGTGTGTGTGTGTGTGTGTGTGTGTGTGTGTGTGTGTGTGTGTGTGTGTGTGTGTGTGATACCTGGCTGTCCCTTCTCTCCTTTATGACCGTCTCTGCCATCCCTGCCTGGCATCCCCGGGATACCTGAAGATGTGAAGACAGGTGAATTATCAAAACACACTCATATCTGAACAATATATACACACATTAACACACATCCGCGCACATACCTGGCATTCCTGGCATTCCTGTTGCTGGGCAGGTCTCCATGGCAACCAGGAGGGGCACAGCCAATGAGAGCAGAGCACCGACAAGGAAAATACAACGATGAAGCATGATGGATGACCTGACAAGGAGAGAGATGATAAGGTAAGGAAAAGTGGAAATGAGAGAGGGGAATGAGGTAAGGAGACAAGGAGGGATAAAAAGAAAGCTTAAAAGTAGAGAGAGAGAGAGAGAAGGTAAGGAAAGAAGGAAAGTGTAGGGGAGAAAATGCAGGGAGAGAAGGATGGAGAAAAGGAGGCAGGTGTGCACGTAGTGGTTTGAGGAGAGATGGAAAGGAAATGACAGCGAGGGCAAGGTAAGAAGAAAGGAGACCAAACAAGAGTGAGGAGAGGAGAGGAGAGGAGATGGAGAGAAGGAAAGGAAACAGAATTGAAAAGAAAAGTAGCGAATAGGAAAAAGAAAGAGAAAAAAAGGAGCAGGTTTAAGTGACAGGTTGCTGGTTTAACCTACTGAACAGACTTAAAATCACCTCTCTCTGAACAACTGAATGATCAGCTGACAGGAACAGTTTAGTATTATAATATTTTTTATCAGAACAAACGAGATATGGAGCTCACACCAACTCGTCTGTCCTATTTTAACAAATCACATACAAATTTTAGAAAAAGGAAAACAGGACTGCTGATAACTTTAACTTAATCCAACAACTAGTTAAAAAAATCCACTTTAAATATGAAAGAAATTAACTCACCTGAAAAAAACTGAGAGTAGAGGATCTAAGCAGCGAACTGAGGTGAAGCTGGTCGGCGAGTCGAGCTGCAGCCAGAAGAGGAAACAGATTCAGCAACTTCTGCAGAACCTTTTTTTTGAGCATCTGATTTGTTCAGTTCTGCAATTTGGGATTGACATAAGAGAAATAGAGAGGAGGACAATCTAGCAGCAGCAGTTTCAATTTTAAAAGGCATTAGCAGGCATAGAAATATGTGAATATACAAACATAAAAACATGAAAACATTTAGCATTGATGACAGAAGATTTTATTGACTTAAAAATGATGAATTCAAGCAGCTAAAGAAACTTGTCTTTAACTTGTGCTGGTTGGTAATGACAGAATCCTTACTAGATAACCATATCATCAAGTTAGCATCAATTTAACCATTTTATTCACATCAAGTCTCAATATTATCCTGCTTTACTGTTGTAATTCATATGAAAGATGCAGATTTACAGTCTTAACATGAACTTTTTCTTCTTCACTGAAACTTTTCTGTTGGCTTTGTCTTTCACTTACACAGATCTGTGACTCAGACACAGACTTTAATGTGTTATAGTCTAGGGTCACTTAGTGTTTGTTTTCTTCGCTTTGTTTGAAGTCTCTTTCACACAGAGAGAAAGAAAGAAAGAAAGAAAGAAGCTAATAAATCTTTAAGTCCTGATCAAGTCTGTTTCATTACATTCATTTGATTCTTTTATCAAGACAATAATAGGAACTGCTTTACATTTTAGGGATAAAAATAGTTTTAAAATGCAAAATAATTAAATCTCAAGCATGCAATTTAAAATGCAATTAACTATAATAAGTTATTTATATTCTGCAGTCAATTATTTATTGTTTAACTGTCCTACAAAATGAGAAATTTGCTCCATTTATAAGGTAACAAGATAAGAGAGGTTATTTCTCATGCATACTAAAAAGCAGTGAAAGGAGCATCAAAGCGCTCACTGCCTCAGCTGATTAAACATAAAATTTAACCTTTGACCCATGACAGGATCTGCTCTTCCAAGAAAGACACAGAGAGGCTTTTAAAATCTACCGAGAAACAAATAAAAAGAGGGAAGATGTGCCAAAAGTTTACAGACAAGCAGAAGTGCAATGAAATAAAACCTTTCACTTCTGTAACTTCTGGGTCACATGAAGACGTCTTTATGTAATCAAGGCAAGTACAGAAAACTGCAGATGAGCAGGTTTTCTTTTTTCGGGGAGGGGTTCTGACAGGTCTGGCTTCAGGGTCAAAACAGCGTAGCATTTAAAGGTAGTCTCAAGCTGTTCAGGCCAAAGCCAACGAACCAAATGTATGTTTTTACTGTAGAAATTAACCTTTTTTTAATGAGTGTGTATGTGGTTTACACCGTTTTTACTGACAGTCTCTAGTGGACATTTAGAGAACTGCAGTTTTTAGCACATGATTATATAAACTGAGTCCTAATGCTGACTTTCAAAGCAAAAGTTTGGGGACTCACAACAAACCAGATTGTCCCTGAAATTTATGCGCAAAATGAAATTACATGTATCTGATTGTAAAGAAATAACACAGAAAACAAATACAGTAAGTACAACTTTATTAAAAGACATTCACAGACAAAGTCGACAGGAGCATTCAGATCAGGTCAACACGTCTGGAGTTTCATAAGGGGAGTGAAATACGACCAAACTGTGATGCAGAGTTGTGATGAAAAATGAGGCTCTGATCTTTTTTTATGTGTTTGAGAAGAGCAGGAAGCCGTTAAAGATGATCATCTTCTCTCGTACGTCTGCAGCTTCAGCAGCTGACTGCCCGTCCTTAAAGGACTCCAACCAAACCTTCTGATTGGCCTCCAGCTGCAGGACCACGCCGCCTGACAAAATCTGGAACACGACACAGACAATAAGACGTGGAGTGTGTGTGTCTGTGAAAAGTCCTGTTGTTTCGCATGACATGGTAATAAGTGTTTTTCTTTGGAGGTCATTATCAGGCTCCATGAGCAGTAACTTGAATTCATGAATCTGATCCACAGTCTGGACTCAGCACTGACCTGATCATTGCTCCTGATGTAGTTACAGAATCCCATCTTGTTGTCCAGAGCATTACTGGCTATATACAGACACATGCTGACCTGAGACGAGCAAAAAAATGAGCAAAATATCAGGAAATGCCAACAGGTGTGATATATATTTAAGAGTTTAATCAGCATTTAGGATCATAATGAGGAGCTGCAGTTGCAGGAAATCAGTCCCGGTGTTACCTTGGCCATCGAGTGGAAGTTGAAGTAGTAAACTCCAGGAGTTTTGCAGATGAACTCACCAGAATTAATATCAAAGTCACCTGGTTTATTGACCAGAGTTTCCTCATAGGTGATTACCTGACAAACACAAACAGACACATTTACACACATTTACACACACAAAAAAAACAGTTTCTTTGTAATTCCTTCAAAAAGATGGAGGACAGACTGAACCTGGCCATATGGAGGGTAGCTTCTCTCAGTCCGTTTCACCGAGAACGCTGAATGTGCTTGCTGAACAACCTGACCTCCTGCAAACACACACACACACACACACACACACACACACACACACACACACACACACACACACACACACACACACACACACACACACACACACTTTTATACTATGGACACAATTTACAGAGAAATAAAGGCAAAATCCTACATTAGAGCAGCCAAACTAGTATTTGTTTATTTGGCATCTAGTTTGGATCGAGTCATGACTGTGCTGACTGGATAAAGGACTCACTGTTTTCACACTACAGCTCCAATAAAAAACAGTCAGTCCAGGTTCATACATCTAAACTCATAATGAGGAATATTGTAATAGTTAAACTTGGTGTTTACACCGAGGTTTATGGGGTCAGAGGTCGAGGCATTACCATGGCCAAGGTTCCTCCCATGGGGCCCAGGGGGACCTGATTTTCCAGGTTGACCAGGTGCTCCCACTTCTCCAGAGTAGCCTTTAGGACCCATGGCCCCTTGCAAACCTCGACTCCCAGCGTCCCCCTTCAGCCTCATCAGGACGGCTGCATCCACCGGCCCATCCACCATCACAGCTGCAGACAAAAAGATCCAACATGAAATCTGCTGGTTATATTCATGGCCACTAGGGGGGGGCGGCGTGACCAACTTTATGTACGTGAAAGATTTGGCGTCTCTTACCTGGCTCTCCTTTCTCCCCCTTTGCTCCTGTTTGTCCATTTCTGCCCGGGGCGCCGTTAACTCCTGATTGTCCGTTGGCTCCTTTGCAGCCAACGTCACATTGGACTGTGATCAAAAGAGAGGCCACGCCCATCAGAACTGCCAGCCAATAGAAACCTCCCATGGTCCAAACACTGTCTCAGATATTAGGAGAAAAATAACGATTAAGTAAAAACACAAAGACGCTCAACACAACAGCGTCTTCATTTATCAGCAGGTGAAATTCAGGAGTTCCAGCTAAAAGAATATAAGTAAAAATTTCATGGAAAATTAAAAATGATTGTAATATTGAAATATCGGGCTATAAGCAGAAAAAAGTAAAATCCTAAATGACACATTTGTGATACTTTTCATGTTAATTCTGGTATCTGAGAGCGAGTTACTTCTTCATGACCCATTTTTTTGTACTAACAGCATTTTTCCAGCATGATTATTGTCTAATGGTGTGAAAGTGCTTGAAAATATATGGTAGAGCTGTAAATTTAGGGATGGAGAATTTCTCTGTAAATTAAAACTAAACTGTAAACTAAGATAAAACAATTAAAAACCCTAAACTTCATCAATGCTGAACAAATGTTGGCATTTACTCATTTTAAATGCTGGTTCTGGTAGTGAGTCATCTATAATAAAGTCTATAAAATATGTATATGGGAAATTTCAGCAGGTTAGTTATGAATTTTAAGGTTGCAGCACTGTTTTTAAGTTTATTCTAAAACTGCATTAATAACTAAATATAAAAAAACTTATGTGAACTGAATGAGTTCAAGCCAATTAGCGGCAAAATTCAAGTCTCTCCAAGTTTTTTTCCCATAAAATGAAATAAAAATAAACAGATTTTTGCAGGAAAAAGATTTTTTTTCACCACACTGATTCACACCTAGTTATTTGTCTTATTACGGGAGAGCTAAGTTGAGCTGGTTTACAAAAATGATGAAGAATTATCACATAAATGTAAATCTGTTATAGTGTTATCAAAAGATCAAGATCAAGATCAAATATTTTACTCACCGGTCGAGTTTGTTCACACCAGCAAGGATTTGGAGCTACAGGACTGAGTTCAGGACTGAGTTTCCTCTTTTGGTGAAGAAACAGAAGCTCCTTATTTTACTGACACATTTTTAACACACACACACTGACGACACAAACACACACACACATGCATGCACAAAATCAGCAGGAAATGAAACTCCTGTCATGAAAAAACATGATTTATCTGATCTGGGATCAGTTTTACTGAAACCTGTTTGCAGACTGTTTTGTTGATCTGGATTTTCTTCTTAGATTCAGATCTTAAAATTTAAAATATATTTATTCAGATTCAGACGAGTGCTGCTGACCTCCTGTGATAAGGATCTTGACCTCAGCCTGGTTACGTGAAAGTTAAATTCTGTCTTTTTTACAGAGTTAATAAAACCACTAAAATATGTTTTTTTTTTTAATGTTTTAAGTCAGTTACCGCTTCATGATCACACTTAAAAGTCTGCTCCAATAATTGTTGAACAAATTCAACATCAGCACAAGCCAAAAGTTTAATGACATTTATAGTCTTTGAGTTTGGATGAAAAATAAAATAATCAGAAGTTTAGGAAAATGAGAATAAAATAGAAATAGAAATATGAAATAGACTAGAAAGCTTTTCTTTCATCAGATTTTAATATTCTTGCCTTTTCATCTTAAGAACAACTTTTTCATGTTATTTATTTTTTCTTTTTGTCCCCTTTCTCTCTCTCTCTCTCTCTCTCTCTCTCTCTCTCTCTCTCTCTCTCTCTCTCTCTCTCTCTCTCTCTCTCTCTCACACACACACACACACACACATATTTCTCTCATTCAGAAAACAGACTGGGATATGTCAGCGTCACATTTTAATTGGAGACTTTTGCACTGAAGGCTCTGAGGAACAAAACAGACAGTTTGGTGCACCATCATGTGGTCATATGATGCAACAACATCTGTGCTCTCTGCAAATTACACAAGTAGGGGAGACCAGGGCTTGTTGTCACATGGGTAAGTTGTCACACTGCAATTATCTTTCCCACCAGAGGGTGTAACTAAAAAGTGAAATACTAGTTTTCTTCCTTTACATGGTCAGGGGTCCTGTCCTGTCTGAGAAGAAAGAGCACATTGTGAGCTGAGATGAGCACTAATTAACCATTTTACACAACCCAAATTAGAAAAAAATAACTTGATATATTTTAAAAAAAGCTTCTTCCAGATAAAAATCCCAGCAGTGATACATGTGGACTTGTTAAAGGAGAGATTAAGGCATCCTGTTCTGTTTTAAACTAACTTTAATCTAGAGCTCGAATTAACAAACATGGTAGTTCGGGGCGACATGTCTCAGTCATTTTGGAGTGAGTTGTCACATGTTTAAAAGGGATAAAAATCAACATATTCTGCTTATCAGCAGATGTCATATTGAAATTTTGACCGTTTTTAAGGACAAAAGAGTGGTTTAAAGGAGAGGAGAAAGCGAGAAGACATGGTCAGGAATTACAAACGAAAAACAGAGCAAGGCAGTGCAGTACCTGACGTGATGCTGAGGACAGTCAGGCAGGTGACCCTAGCTAATAAATCCATCTGGAGTACAATAAAGGACTTTAATGTCAACTACCAAACCTTTCAAAACATTCACCCCAGCTGAAATACAGAGTCAGACAGCTCTCCGAACTCCAGAGCATGTTGCATGATATTCTATGTTAATGTTTGTTCAATGACTTTCACTAGCGCAATGATAAACACTTTCTGTTCCTGACTTTGATGTTCACTTTCAAGTAAAAAAATGAGAACAACAATAAATTTATCCTTGTTTTATCAGCTGCAAAATCCACTGCTACATCTTACCCCATGTAGAGAGACAACTTATCCAATGGTGAGGCAACATGTCACATGATCACACTCTCTATTTGATTGTTTATAACTCTGCACTGACACAAGATATGAAAATGACATGACTATGAAATATATCCCTGACATGGTGGTCTTTCATCTGGTTCACATTTTGTTTATATATGATGTTTTGATTCCAAGAAATATCTAAGAGTGTAAAAAGTGTGAAAACAAGCCCCGGTCTCCCCTATCGGACTACTGAGGTAGTTTAGCCCAGATCTGTCTCCTGGTTTAGCAGATCTGTGCAACAACAGATCTACTCTGTTGTTACGCAGATCTTGCTCTCTAATATCTTCAGTGGGGGTTGATTTAAGGTGCCGATGCATGGGAACAGTTTGTGAGTGAAAGTGTGTGTGAAGGTGTGTATGTGTGTGTTTGTATCGGGGTCATAGAACAGCAGTTTTCCTCGGTTCCAGTCTAAGAGAACTCGGATTTTCTGGAGTTTCTTCTTCACTCGGAGAACCATCGGTGGAGCGCCGAGCAAACGTGCGCTGTATTTCCCTCCATAGAACTCGATTTGCCAGAAACCAGATTTCACCCGCCCCTTTTTCTGTGTGAACTTTGCAGCCAAACCAACAAACCAGGCCGGATTATCTCCCACCTCAAAGTCCACGTAGTGAGTCCCTGAGCTGAAGCTCTTGGAGCCCCAGACGGAGCGGTGATAGTCGTTCCTCTCCGGGTTTTCTGGGAGCCTCCGTCTCTCTCCATGACTCACGCTGGTCAGATCTTCAGACAGGATGAATTCTGGGTTTGCAGTGTTTGGATCCAGAATCACAGGACTGTAGGAGACCATGTCCTTCATCTTGGTCCAGATGTTGAAGCTCAGGTTACCCAGGTGTTTGGCCTCGTCTATAAGAGCTCCTGAGACCAGCTCTGGATCCTCCAGCAGGGGGCGCTCCTCGACTCTTTTCAGTGCAGCCTTGTAGTTCTGCAGGAATGAGAGGTCTTCAGTTCTCATCTCCTCCTCTGTGACTCTGATGGTTTCTGAAAGACCTGCTATCTCTCTGTGTAGAGCTTCAGTCTTCTCCCACATCACCTGACTCTTCTGCTCCTCTTCCTCCCTCAGAGCAGAGATCCTGGCCTCCTCTTCCTCCTGTAGAAACTGCTGAAGCTTCTTGAACTGCTCCCTAATCTTCCTCTCTGTGTTCCTGGCCTGGACTTTAATGTGAGCTGCTGTTTCATCACAGTTTCCTCTCACCTGTTCAAAGATCTTCAGTTTTTCCTTTAGAGGCTTCAGAGATTTCTGCAGCTCCTTCCTGTGATCTAGAGCCAGCTCGTGCAGAGGTCTAAATCTGTGACCGGTGTGTGTTTTTGAATCCCGACAGATCAGACACACCGGCTGCTGATGGTCCAGACAGAAGAGTTTCAGTTTCTCGGAGTGCAGACTGCAGAGAGCCTCAGATCCCTCTGAGGCTCTCTGTTCTTGCTCCAACACGAAGGACTCGCACAGATTCTTTAACGCCAGGTTGCATGGCGGCTCCGCCCTCGAGGATCTTCTCTTACAAAGTGGACATTCCTGGATCAGCTTCTCTCGCCACCAGCTCTGCAGACAGGCTTTACAGAAGCTGTGGCTGCATGTGAGGACAACAGGACCCTTAAAGATGTCCTGACAGACCGGACAGGTGAGATCCTCCTCAGACCGGAAAGACATTTTACCCCAGAGTGAAACTACAAACAAAGCAGGCAGACTCTGAACTCCCTGAAAAACACACTCCTTCTCACTTTAAAGCTGCCTGTTTAACCGTCCGCTGTGTTTCCTCCTCTCCCTCAGGAAAACTGGAGATCTAACAGACATTATTATTGTCCCCTCAGAGTGTGTTTCACTTCCTAGAGGAGGAACAACAGTGTGTTTCCTGGTTAGTCTCGGATGAGTTGGAGGTGGAGCTTCATCAGGGAGAGCAAGTCGAACATGAGTTAACCTCCACAGAGCTGTAGATTCTTCACTAAAGACAGCAGAGCCAAACCATATCTCAAATATAATCACTACGTTATTAAGATAGTGTTCATTAATATGCAGTTTATTTGTTCTACCACAATAAACGACTACGCATCAACATGTATAACCACATATTTAGCTGCTGAAACCTCCTCTGACTTCTTCTCTCTAGAGCAGAGCTTCTGATTGGTGTGCAAATGTCTCCTCAGAAGGGTTGAAGTTCCTCTACACCCATACTGAAGAGAGCGTCAGACTCTCCTGAAGATCTCTGCAGTCTGTCCAGTAACAGAGCCTCACAAAAGCTCTGTAAGTCCAGGTTTAAACATGGATTACTTTGTAAGATCTAGATGTTCTTGTTTTGGTTTCTGCAGGCAGACAACAGGACAGTTAAGGGGGTCCTGACAGACCAGACACCGAGCGCGTTTGTCTTAAAGGGCGGTATTAACGGTATTTTATTCCTCGGTGTGTGTGTGGCTCTTCTCTCAGAGGACGGTGAGGAAAAATGGCTCGACTCTCTGTTCGTCAAAGACTTTGAGCTTCACTGGATGAATGTGATGAATACAAACTGTCATGCTGCTTAGATGTCCACTGATAATGTCAACATACCTTTGGTTGGAAGAATGCAAAGCAAAACATGACAAGTCCAGGCCCGTGCATCCCCTGTATGGAAGAACAGACGCGTTACCATAGTGACTCACACTCTCACAATGGTACCAGGTTGGTTTCCATTGAATAAGGGAGTGTTAATTTTATGTCATTTAAATCTTTTCTTTTTTAAAAGCCAAGCCAGGAACAATAGATGGGAACCTATAATCTCTGTGTTGTATGATGTAATCTGCATTTTTCCCTGTCAAATAAACTTTTCAAATGAAATAAATATTCAGAAACTTTTCCTTTAAAGCAAAAATTGTTACTTAAGATGCAAAATTCCTAAAACAGATAAATTATATTTAACTCCATCATATCTTGTCTTAAAAATATGATCCAGAGAAAGTCAAAGTCATGGAAGATGATGGAGAGATAAATGGAAAGTCGACCTCTGAGGGACCTTGCCGTCTTTTCCTGCATGTAACTGTCATTTAGAGCTTTTCCTTTCTAGGACAGACACTGTAATGTGATGATTTGTCCTTGCAGCAGATACATGCAGTTTGCTTTTCAAACAGGTAATAATTTAGTCATAATTATTTTTTTATGCTAAAATCAAGTTCATTTTCCTTTTAGAAATCAGAAACTTTGTTCTATTTACAACACATGTGACCAAACCACCTGCAGACTACCCTGACCCTGCGTTAAAAAGTACTGAGATTTAACTACAACTTTTCTCTCTAACACTGATTCTATTCTTGTAATACTATCACTTATCTTCATCTTTATTTATGTAACTCTACCATTTTCCCTCATGTGGCTTTTTTACTGAACTGCATCAGATGGTGTAACACAAAAAAAATGCAGTGAGTGGACACAGGCCCTAAGTCTGCATAACCATCTATCTGCAAGTCTGTAATTTAAAAAAACAAAACAAAACAAAGACCTGCAGAGTTTATCTGACATGAATAATTTCAATCATTAAGCCCCTTTATCAAACAAACTTACATGCACACTTCATCTGTTTTATCATGTTGTGCATTAGAGGATTCAGAAATGTGAATGAACATCTGCACGAATGTGAACAGCTGCTACAGCATTATTATGACAAATCTGCACCCTGTACAATGCTGCATGGCTCCAGGGCTTGATGCTCATATTCATTTTGTTACTAATGTTCTTCTTTAAAAACTGTGGAGCTTCTGTAAACTGGACGGACTGCATGGCAACAGGACAAGCGAACGCATTTGTGTTTGTGTGTTAAGCCTCCCCTGGGGGTGTGTCATGTTGTTGCCTTGCGGGTTCCTGTTGTCTGATCTCTGCAGATGAAACTCCCAAGAACCCACAAACATCCTCTATCTCTCTCTCACATAGACAGACAGACATATACAAATGTTTTAAAGCTCTTTGTAAAGCTCTTTTTAACTATTTCAGAAATAAAGACATGATTGGACTAAACCTGTTTTTCTTTTTCTTTTTTTTTCTTTTTCTTTTTTTTTTTACCCCCAGTTGATTTATAGACCCTTCAGAGACTCTCTCACACACATTTTTCTGCAGACACACAACCGGAAAACATTACGGAGGGCGGGTTACATGCTAAGTTTTTTTTCTCTCTGTCTCCTGCTATTGGTTGGCTCTGGACCAATCACCTTACAAGTGATCAAACATTACACATTCGGAGTAGTTACTCTGCAGACAGAGGGACTCTCTCTCAGAAGCAAACAAGGACTTTCTCTCCTCTGTATCTGGACATCATCTCAAACTCACCTGATTTTAAAGTCCTGTCAGCAGCAGATCGTCCTCCTCCTGCAGGTGAGACACAACACAACTTTAGCTTTGTGTTCTTCCTCAAGCTGAAGGGGAATACCCGAGAGACCTCACATATTTTTAACAATGAAACGAGACGCCTTATATAAGACGAGCTAAAAAAACAAACCAGAGAAGCAGTACTGTCACCTCTGTACAGGTGTGAGCGGCTGAGAGGTTATTTACGGTTAGGTTACTCTTTGTTTCCATGTTTGAGGTGAGAAAAATACTGACGCCTAAATTTAAAGCAGGAATATAACTATGTAAAAAAGATACAGATATTAAACATTAGGGGACTTGTTTGCTTTGAGATTTGTTGTAAAATTATTGAAGTTATATTAAATTTGTATGTTTTTGACACTTTTAAAGATGAGTAAAATATTCACCCAATAAGATCTTACAGGATTTTCTTTCATATTTAAAGTTAATTTTCATTTAAGGCCTCCAACAAACAGTAAAATGTTTGTTTTGGAGTTAAAATAGAAAAAGTTTTGTACTGAGACATGAGTAAAGAAAGTAAAACTACCAGAAAACTACCACATACCTTCCATTCATTAAAACACTCTCAAATGTTTTTAATTATATTGGATCATAACTTTAAAAAACTCCACCTAAAACTAATGTGAAGACTTTTCAGCTGGTAATAAAACAGACTGAGGGTAAAACTGACGCCTCTTCGTGACCGACATCAGCAAACCAGAGCTTCAACTAGAGGAATTAGCGGTTTCATGTCATAATTTTTACTGCTTGTAGCCGCTGCGAAGGATCAGATGTGTCGGATAAGACAGTTTACACGAGCTGAAGAAGTTGAAAAGCCTCTTTTTGCTGTTTCCACCTCTGAGTTTCCCGGTGGAAAGGAGAAAAAGCTCTGCTGGGTCTTTGTTTTAATCACACTCAGGTGCTCTTCAGGTTCCTGTGTTACTCTTTGGATGTGTAGAAAAAACACTCAGAGGTATCTGTGTGGAAATGCTTGAAGGTAACATGACATGACCTGCTGCGACCTCATTTTAATTCCACTTAAACGCTACAGAGTGCCTCAGAGCGGGTTTGAGGACAGCTGCAGTTTATCTAGTTTGATTGAGAAACACTTCACATGTAAAAGATAAGATCAGCTGAGATCCCAGATTAAAGTCTTTGTCCTCAGAAACTGACTTAAGTGGCCCAAAGTGAAAAGTTTGAGCGGATGTCAATGTGAGGGATACAGAGGGGAAAATGTACAGAGTTTTCAATTTAAAGTTGTTAATTTTAATTTACTTTAATCCTAGGAAACTACAAATAAAAGACAGTAACGCCCTTTTCCCCCCAGTTTTTTTATCTTGATGATGAACAGCTGTTTGAGCGATTTAGTTTAGAAGAAAAAATTCCAAGTATTACTGAAGTACTGAAATGAAAACATGTTTTCAGAGCTCTACACTTTAAGAATATTTTCACACTGTTATCTTTTTTACTCCCACAAATACAATATCCTTTTTTGTTGCTTCTCTTACACCCAAAACTTGCAGATGTAACCATGTTTGATTTGCTGTGAGACTCTGCGGTGATTAAAGAGTTAAAATCCACAGAAACCTGAAGCTCACCTGGACATGTGCACCGTTTTACTCCTCTTCACGGCCTTTATTACAGAGACGTCTGAGCTCATAGACCACGTTAACTGTAGACGGCAGAGGGAAGTGAATAGAGGGAGGACTTAGTCAGAGTCAGTGGGTCTTCAGGTAATAACACATTAATAATCTCAGCTGGGATGGGAAGTTTTCCAGATCACCTTGTTTCCTTTAGACAAAAATCAATGTAGCGCCGCTGCTGACAGAGATCCAAAATCCTGTCGTTACCTGAGGAGTCAGACAAGTTTTAAATTTTGATGATGTTGTTATTGGATTACGAGAAAACAGGTTTGCTTCTTAATCATTTTTTAAAATCTGTTGACACCTTATCAAATTTATAAAAGGTTCAACAATGTTTAATAAGAACCAATAAATCTTTACTCCTAGTTTTGGATCCTCGTCCAACAAAACCTTCATCTTTGAAGACTTAACCATGAACTGTCTCCTTACACAATATAAATGAATCAATATTAATGATCTGAATTCACCGCAAATGTTTGTGAAATGTCACCTGAATCCATTAAACGGTTTGATTCGTGTTGGACAGACTTTACAGACTTCATGACTCAGTCACAAAGATCTGATTCTCACAGTCTGACTTTACTCACTGGGTTAATGAGGTTAATAAGTTTTCTGATTTTGATATTTTAATTTGATATCTCAAAAAGGGTGAGGTTGGCCCAAGAGTTTGACGTATTTCAGCTCCAATCACAGAGTTTTATTTTGCAGAGCCAAATATATAAAAAAGGAGCGATGCCTCATCTCACAGCTGATTAAACTCTCAGATCTAATTTGAGCACAATGACTGCGTACAAAACACTGTCTCTAGAAAACAGACCACACATACAGTAGTCTGATCCAGACCATCAGGGTCACTGAAAGACGCTCGCCATGAGAAAATTAAAGGTGGCTCAGGAGTCAAAAAACACGCCAACAGGAAGAAACAGAGTTTTTTTCAGGGCTTCTTCTCTTTGCTTTCACTGAATATTTATGTTAATACTGATCCGACCACTCCTTGTTTACCATCTCAAAGATCGCTAAAACAAGTTATGACAGTCTGGAGGCGTCTGTTTGACTCCTGCTCTTCATTTACCTCAACAGCTCCTGGCTGGTGTTCATGTATAAACAAGGTTGCTCAAAAGCTAATGTCTGTACATAACTGTGATGGTCTGATCACACAACACAACACAACACAACACAACACAACACAACACAACACAACACAACACAACACAACACAACACAACACAACACAACACAACACAACACAACACAACACAACACAACAGCTGTTTTCTGACAGTGGGAATGATGAGAATTCAGACCAAACGCTTAAGTGCCAAGAACTATAACTGTAAATAAAATGTTAATCTTTGTGAGGAATTCACTGGTTTCATGGACCACCACAGTCTGCAACACTTCCTCCAATTCCACCTCTTTATTGATACAAATTTAGAGTTGTCTATTGTCCAATTAGCAGCACGAGTAGAGACCAAGAGAGAACAGTTTTTCAGGATCATTGCATCCCCTACAGTAGTGCCATCCATCTGTTCCTGCTGAGTCTCAGTTTCACTGTAAACAGTTATAACGTGCAGTTGACTGTGTTTAAGTTTTCTGATGTAAGATTGAGTGAACTATGTCAGGTTGGTCTTTAAGAGAAGAAGAAAACCTTTAAAGCGTTCATCTGTTGGATGGAGTATAGATCCAGCACGTCTGATGCATTCAAGAGAGTCAGGAAATCCAAACACTCTGCTGGTCGAATGATACTGTGACCAGCTGAGTGTTAGCTCCAGTATGAACGCTCAGACTGTCTGTTTAGTGATAGGTTAGTTGTCCTGTATACTCTCCATTAAAACCGCTGTCCCACGTACACTGTTCTCCTGCTGCTGACAACAAATGCTGTACAAACAGACACCTGAACTCTTCCTATTGTACCCGCCCTTTTTATCAAGGATCTGTAAATATTGATAAGTCAAGGTCAAATACACTTCCTGCTGTAAACCCAACAGTCAAGGTGTCTTCACATTTATCAGGACAGTGAGAGCAGACAGAGCATCAACAAACAGCAGGACGTGATCAAAGAGCTGCGACAGTTTGGTCATGTCCCACTGACATCTCTGTGATATGACCCGTCAGTAAAGTCCTGTTCTGGGGAAGTTGTGAGTCATCTTTGCTGGGACATGTTGAGGCTGTTATCAGCTGCAGTATTCACCTTTACAATGCAAAAAGGCAGTAAAATTTACAAACTAGTCGGACAACTTCCTTAAATAGACACAAACACGATGAGTTTTATGGTTTTAGTGAGAGAGGGCAGGAGGAAGTTGAAGAGCTAAAGCTAGTAGAGATAATGTCTTTACGGATCAAGACTTCATGTGATATTTCAGGTTTTCTAATTAGCCTCTGCGGCAGAGTGAAGGAGTCAGGATGTGGAGAACGACACTAACCTGCAGTTATTAAGATGGCATTAACACAGCTGAAGGAGATGCAGATTTTACACCTGTAACATGCTGCATCAAAAACAACGTCCTTATTTCTGTGCAACAGTGGCTGGTACAACTGTAGAAACACAGCAAAGAAGCAAAAGGAGCTTTGGCACAGCTCAGGGAAAAGGACGGTGCATTTAACAGCGCTATATTTTTGATTGTGATTGGTGGTGCGCTCGCGTTTAACGAGGAAGAAAAGTTCAGAAACTGCACCACTGCCAACAGTATTCAGGATGTAAAGAGTCCCAGAATGCCTTGCACAGCGAGGCGTCCATTAGCAGTGCACATTGTGGAAGTTGCTTGGGTTCAGATTCTCAGCAACTCAGATTTAAACCTGTTGTCAGGACTATAGACTTGGTCTAAAGATCAGGTCTAAACTTCTGGGAGAATTTTTCAGTCCACACGAAGTTTTACCGACCTGCTAGGATCTGCTTTGTCAGCAAGGCCTTACTTCACTTATGATGCAGCTCGTAAACAAAGCCGTGAGAAGAGGATCAATGACACAGAAAACTGAAACGATATCCAACCCTGATGCTCACCTGTGGCTTCAGTGTTAATCATTAGCAAGACAAGGAAGAACACACTGATTCAAATCCTTCTTACATAGCCAGGCATAGGCTGGAGTGTCTGCAGTATTACAACAGCATGTTTACACGTGCATGTTTACATTCTACATTTACACGACATGCAGAAAAACTGCATGCAGAGTGGTCAGTTCTGTTTCTTTAAGTGAGGGGCTTCATAATAGTGACATCAGGAAGATTATTTTGTAGATCAATTGTGGAAAAAAAGGACATGGTAGCAGCGTGACATGTTTCAGGTCATATGAATAAGACTGTACGTCTACGGTACTGTGTGGCTATCGCAGATGTGCAAGATTCGACTTTGACGTAAACATTCAGGACTGTAAACATCTGAATATAAAGCCTACGTTCAGTGACTGGATGATTTAAGAGTCACCAGAGTTTGAGGAGTAATCTGAGGTTTCAAGGTCAGGAAACTGTGAGAGGTATTTCTGAATAAAAAGAAATACTGATGATCCACAGAAACCCTCCCAGCGTTCACAGAGAAAATGTTTTTTATGTTCTCCCATAATACTCAGATGTTTCTCTTTTGCTCTTCTTAAGACTTGTTTCTGTTTTTGATTTAAATACCAGTGTGGACACTCGTTATGCTGTTGTTCTATGAAATCACCATAGTCGAGAGGCTCCAGAAAAACTGACGTTAAAAAAGCAGGAATATCTGAAATACGCCTCAAGCTGTGCGCGTGTGTGTGTGTGTGTGTGTGTGTGTGTGTGTGATTTCACATCTCAAGGGAGGTCAGTCGTGATTGATGGCAGTGATTAGGCGTCAATAACATTCCTGAGGTGAGAAATTAAACTGCAGAGACTCGACTGTACGTCCTCAGGCTGCTCACTGCTGTTGTGTTTCTGTTCCATTTACTGTTTCATAAAAACTCAAACATGTGCTGCTGCTTCATTAGAGGAAATGTAAACTATACGACACGTTTAAACAGAGCTCATAGATTCTATTCAAACAGAGACGAGCTCTTTTTCATCTTTATAATGTCTGCAGCCTTTCTTCCTTTGGTTGGCTGTTATAAATCTGTCATAATACGTTGTGTAGGAGTTTTTTTTAATTTTTTCTAACGGTGGATGAAACTCAAAGCATTTTACCTGCGCACTGAAGTCTGTTATCATTTGTTTGAACTCCTGTATCTACTTCATCGTAAAACTGCTGTTTTCTTAATGTGATTGTGAGCAGGTGGTGTCAGGGCTAATCATAAATTGAACTCCATGTCTTGTTAATTCTTCAGCAAACATTTATTAACACAATATCTGATACTTCTATTCAAAATGAACAAAAGTCAAGTAAACACTGGTGTGAAAGCCTGTTTAAAGCTAGGCTGTAAACCTGTTTATTTTGGCTCTAAAAATTAGCTTTTTTTTGGACCTTCAGTTTCTGCAGTCAGCCTCAAGTGGACACTCAGGGAACTGCAGTTTCTAGCGGTTACACATCTGCAGAAGTGCTGTGAGATGACCTTATGACCTGAAACCGAGGTTTTCTGAACACATACAAAAATGCGGTCAGTGGACACAGGCCCTTATGCTGTTGATCGCTAAAGTTGTCCAGTGAGTTTGCAATTCTTGAAAAAGCTAAGACTGAACAGCAAAGCTTACGAATCAACGGAAAAATAAAAGAGCAAACTTGCAGCTGATAAAACTTCTCACCTTAATGCATAAAACAGTGATGGTTGAGCTCTGCAGCAGATTGTAACCGTGGTTTTCTTAAATATGGAGGCTCTTGAAGTTTTTAGGTTGATGAGTGAAGGTTTTAAGGAAAGGGAACAAACTTTAAGAATGCAGTAATGAGAAGTTCCACTTGAATCCACGGTTATTTTGTTAGGTACATGCAGTAAAGTCAGCAGCTGTGTTATATAACATATACTGTACAGTATTTAGCCTTGTGAAAAGAAAACAACCTGTTCTGACCGTCTGTCATTTACATTCGTAAATCTGTTTGCTCTTCCTGAACAAAGACATTCCTTCTGAGCTGACGGGTAAATGTTGGGGGGCTGCAGACTGTCTGGCAGACTGACAGATTGGTGCCTGTAGCTGCATTTACAGTGTACTCTTCGTATTATATGTCCTGTGTTGATGTAAAGACGACAGCTGAAGGTGGACTGATCAGAGGAGACGGGCTGACAGGAAGGGTCTCTGTAATTACACAAAAATTACATGTTTGAGCAAGTCCTGCATGTTTTCCTTCACTCCTTTATCTTTACTTTGAGAAGAATTTAAAAGAAAATCATTCATTTAATAAAGAAGTTAACACAGGAGTTACTCGTCAGTATTCAATATCTGATAGACTTATTTAAGGCTGTTTTGTCTTGATGTGATGATGTGTTTATTTTATTTTATGTAACTCAGCTTCAAACCTCAGCAGAGTTCCTCTTCATTTACAGCCATAAAGATTAAGCGCTTATGAACATCTGATTTTCTATCACTTCACCTGTTATTTTACATTTTATTTTAAATCTTCCCACACACCTGCTTTTTTAAGACTCAGTAAAAAAGTTAGTGCCAAAAGCACTTCATATTTACAGCTCATACCTGAACCTTTACAAGCATGTTTTCTCTATGTACAGTCTGGATTAAGGAGCTCAGAGACGCTGCCGGGTGTTATTAGACACAGAGACTGTTGACACACACACAAACACACACACACACACACACACTCAGTCACTTATCTAATGTGAGTACAGGTAAATCACACATGCCTGAATGCTCAGACTCATAAAAACTCTCATGTCTCTGCTGTCTGTGTCTCCTCTCTGCAGCAGCCATGAAAATAGCATCTTTTAACATCCAGAAGTTTGGAAAGAACAAAGTGTCAGACCCAAAGGTGCTCAGTATCCTGGTGAAGGTAACGTCTAACACACACACACACACACACACACACACACACACACACACACACACACACACACACACACACACACACACACACACACACACACATTTTTTAGGAAAATCTGGTATCAACACAACTCAAAGTTCATTATTTTCTCCTTGCCGTCAGATCATCTCTCGCTATGACATCATTTTGATCCTGGAGGTCGTGGACATCAGCGGGGAGTCTGTAAAAACCCTCATGGACGCCCTCAACACGTAAGCGTGGGCTCTGTTTTGCTGTCTGTGTCGGGAAAGGGTTCAAAACACCGTTGAACCAATAACTGTTATGTGTCTGTGTGCGTCTGTGTGAGTCCAGGTCGAACAGGGAACATCACTACACTCTGAAGATCAGCAGCCGTCTGGGCCGAACACGCTACAAGGAGCAGTTCATGTTCCTGTACAGGTGAGAGTCCAGGAACAAGATGAGCAACGAAGTGAGAGGAAGTCAAGAAGAAAGCAGTCTGTCGATTCCTGTTCTTCAGTGAGGAAGATCATGTCACACAAACATCCATCTGATTTTTCAGGGCGGACTCGAAACTTTGTGATTAATTTTAGGCACAAAAATCAGCTTTTTAAACACTGAGGGCCTCAAACTTGCACGTGAATTCTACTGTTAGTGAAAATTCAACTAAAGAGCTTCAACTGCAAAAAAACAAACCAGAAACAGGTGGTGTGTGAGTCCTCACGCTGAATGGAGGTTGTAAAAACACAGTATTTTTATGCGTTTTGTGCATTTTGCAGAGATGACCTGGTTGACTTGGTGGGCTCGTACCAGTTTGATGACAAAGAGACTGAAGGAGGAGATGTTTTTGCCAGAGATCCCTACATCCTGCGCTTCAGGTGTCTCAATACAGGTGAGAGGCGTGCACACTAAAGAGGATGTAGCAGAGAAGAGAAGAGTGAAGGTGTAACTGTGTGTGTGTGTGTGTTTACCTCAGTGCTGAAGGACCTGGTGATGATTCCTGTTCACACTAAACCAGATGACTCGGAGAAGGAGCTGGACGAACTTTACGATGTTTTCCTGCACGTGAAGCAGAAATGGAGAACAGATGTAAGTATTCAGTGTCATTATGATCACTTTAAGTTAAAAACAGAGTTAAATACTAACAGTGACTCCCTGCACAGTCATCTCTACTCAGGGTTGTTATGAAGCTGATGTAGATTCAAAAAGGAAAAACAAAGGAAACGACACCATGAAGGATGAAACTGACAGATTTGATGTTGTAATTTTAAATGCCGTTAACTGTTAAGATGGTGTATTTTACTGAAAACCTCTTTACAAGGTCAACAGTGAAAAAGCACAACTATAACTCAGATGACTGTTTAAGGAAAGCAAGGCAAATATTTTCTTATATAAAAAAACTGTGGCATGTATAGGACAAGATCAGCAAGGCTGTGAGTTAAAAAATAAGTGATGTGAATAGAGTAAAACGGAAAATTTGTGGAAGAAGAGTAAGTCTGCACACGTAACCTGACCAAAGGTTGTCACTCTTGTTTGTTCTCTGAATAAAATAAATAGAAATAGAAAACAGAAATAAAAATATCTCACCTATTTTTCGGTTTTGGTGCTCTTCCTCCTCCAGAACGTGATGATTCTGGGCGACTTTAATGCAGACGGTCTGTACGTTTCTAAGAAGGAAATGAAGGAGATCAGGATACGCAGCGACAAGAACTTCCACTGGCTGATTGCAGACGACGTGGACACCACAGCGAGCAACAAAAATGACCACACATACGACAGGTAACACAAAAACTACACATGCTAACTACCTCTGAATCTGTATAGCAGACTGTGTTTATGTTTATAATGTTAGGCAGGCAGAGTTGACTCATTTTCACCTTTTTTATGATATTTTGGGACAATTGTAGAGTAGCTTTGCAGGATTTGCAGCTCATAAAATTCCTCTTATTTCACACTGTTTACTGTGAAAATGCCTTATTTCAATTCTACTTGAAAGGCTTCTATTTGTTCCCTTTTCTTGTTATTCAAATTAGACAAGAAGTTTGTTTTGCTGCTTTGGGGAACTTTAGTAGTTAAGTTAGTATAATGGCAGCAGCTTGGTAGGTAACTCTTTAAGGTGACGTACATTTAGTTTTAACACATGACTGAAGACATACTGTGTGTTTCTGTTCTCAGGATAGTTGTTTATGGAGATGACATGCTCAAAGCTGTGATACCAAACTCTGCTAAACCCTTCAACTTCCAGGAAGCGTACAAACTCAATCAGGAGCAGGTCTGTGTTTGATTTCATGCTCACACTTCACAGAGATGGAGTTCATACAGAAGGTGTTATTTTCATGTTTTGCTCTCCAGTCCTGTGCAAACATGAATGTGGTATTAAAGTCAAGATAAATTTAAAACTAGAATAAGATAAAAGCTCTGTGTATGAAAAGGAAAGCGTTTGTTGATCAGTTAATGACCCTCTCTTTTCAGGCCCTTGATGTCAGCGATCATTACCCTGTGGAGGTGGAGCTGAAGTCCCTGACTAAAACTACACATGGAGAAGGTAGACATAACTTTTAACTACTTTTAAAAGAAGTGCATCTTAAAATGAAACTTAAATACGAAAAACACAGTAGAGTCACACGAATTGGCTGAAGAATAATTGAGTATATCAAACTTTATCATAATAAAAAATAACCTAAATAATCTTTGTTTTTTTTCCATGTTTTAGGCGTTTTTATTTAACCAAGAGAGATTTGGACAGAAAGAAAGTGTATGGACTGTTATTTGGCATTCCAGGTTTAGTCCAAGGCAAACAGCGCCTTTTTTCTTTTCCTGTAGCTTAGCAAAGATTTAAATTAAGGAAATTAGCTGTTTCACAAACTGGCTGTTTGCTAGACTAGTTCTGCGCTGGACTAGAACCGTGACCTCCTCAGGACATCTGATATCATACAGTAGAGCTTAATGCTTGGTTCTGATAGGTCAATACTTCATAGCAACAGTCTGCTATCATTCAATAACAGACTTTAGACTGTTTTAATCCCCTGAAAGAGGATAATTTTGGATAATTTTCTGACTAGTTTTATTGCAGTGAAGCCAAGAAAAAGACGAGGATGGTGTAGAAGAGACAAGAGAGATTAAAGGCGTAATCAAATTAGTGTTTACGAAAATATGTTTTTTTTTCAAAAGTTTGAACCTGACCTCACATGTTGTTGTAGCTGCAGGACTTAAAGTATCTTTCCTCTCCAGATCTTGATCCACTGATGGACCTTCAGACGAGACCACCTCGGCTTGTGATGGTGGACGAGGATCTGCTGGCGCTGAAGAGAGAGAACCTGCTGCTGGAGAGGGAGAAGCTCAGACTGGAGATCCAGATCCTGAGGGCCAAAGTGGCCGAGTTAAATAGCAGGACTGAAGTTTAAACTGGAAAGTCCAGATCTGTTCAAAAACACCCGACAGGACCTGAAACCCCGGCCTTAAATCACAACACACACAGAACCACGAATCTTCAGCTTGACTGCCACAGTTTATCCCACTTTGCACACCATACTCACAGCAAACACTGCAGCTGTTTCAGGCAGAAACCACGTTACCTCAGGTGACATCTTTGACGCCATCTTAGCTTGAATTTTTACTTACTCAGGGTTCATTTCTTATTAATTTAGCTTTTACAGTGAAAGGACAGCTACAGATAGAAATTACAGGGAGGAAAGAGGGTCCAGGCATGGTCCACTTACTGAGCTGTACTTTACTGTATTCTACTGTTGACTGACACAGCTGTTTCAGTTTGTATCTGGTCACCTCTAGACTGAAAACTGTTAGGTACTTTTTTATAAATAAAACTTTAGACTGTTAATACTAGTCTGATTTTTGACACAAACTTAAATAATTTTTAAATATTTTATTTTGTTTAGTACTTTTTTAAATGAAGCAGCACAGTTATAAAAGCTGATGTATTTTTGGTATACAATCAACACTGACATGAGTTTATTGATGTTAAAATCAATTTGATGACAGTTTTCTTTTTCTATTCAAAGCAGGTGCTTATTAAGACGTAGAATAGTGTTAGTAAAAATAATATTAGACATAGTTTTAAATGTGTTTGCAGTGTGCATGTAATTGCATTACTGTACAATAAACTTTATACTCTGAAAAGACTGAAAACTACAGTTTGTTGAGTTATTGTTCAAACTATGAAAACATTTGAAACATTTACTCAATGACCTGAGATTGGATAATGAAGAGATTTGACTGTTAAAAGCAAACATTTTTGTTTTGGGGGGAAAAGGTGATATTTAAAAGGGGCATTAACAGATGATAAAAAACAGACAAAATTCAATTCTGAATCACTTTATAAAAGCAAATCATATTGACCAGGTGAGTCCCTTCTTCCTAAGAATGTTTTGACTTAAAAATGGATTTTATATCAATCAACAAAAGCGTTTTTTTAAATGTTTTCCCCAGGCTCAGCAGAGACACAGGTTGCAAAAATACAAGTCATGTTAAATCACTAAGCAGCAAGAAAACTCAATAAAAATCTATTTTATTTTCAAACCAAGTGTTAAGGGTTTAAAATGTTTTCCATATCCCTGCACTTGGATATAAACAACATATCTATAAGGTGTGTTTCTGATTTAAAAAAAACATCTTAGAAGTGGATTGGATTGAATTTTACGCCGCTTCAGTCATAATGTGTCATTAAAACTAATTTCCAAACACTTTTGCTCTCTTTAAGTTTACAGGAAATTCAATTACAATCTCAAAAGTGACCACAAAATATATTCAACACATCTATGAACAGTTTCACCTTCAAACGTAAAGACTAGGTTGTTATTAAAATGACATTTACATACTTTATAAAGGATACTGGATTTTACAGCCCTGGCTGTCAAATAAGACGCATTTGTTTCCTTCCTGTGCTATAAAGTTATCTGTCACAAGAGAAAATTTGCCAAAATTACAATTAAGTAGGTATTCAACTGTTATTTATCTGCATCTTCATCTTCATCTTAAATATTTAATTTCAAACAGTCTGAGTTTGTCATACAGGGATTCAACCACTTCTTCACCTGGTATACAGAATTAGCTTTAAGCTGGCTCAGGTGGTTACGCTGCAGGAGCTAACATGGCAAGCTAGCATAAACTCATACATGGAAAACTTTATGAACTGCTTCGATCGACATTTATACTTTAAAACTGCTCTTACAAAGATGTACTTACCAGTTTCATTTAATAAGCGCATTTGGAAACAGGATGTGGTTTTCTAACCTGTCTCTAGATTGAATTTTCCAGTCAAGCACATAAAATGAAAAATTTGTAGCATTAAACACTGGAATATATTTTCTTTGTATTTCTGTGGGGGAAACTTCTCCAGGGATAAAATTGTAAAGCATACCACCTTACCATCCACCAAAATGGTACTCACGTTGCTGTAACTTTATCTTCCACATTTAGTTTATTTACAGAGAACCTTTTAGAAAACGTGAATTTCTTGGGCTACATTGATGTCTAAAGGTAATGAGCACCAGAGGAGGGCGCTACAATGGTAGAGTGATACAAATACAACCCAGAACGTTAAAATTGTGCATTTAAATGGTGCATATTTGTGTGTAATCAAAAGTTTGGGTTTTTGTCAGTTAGTAGTAAAAATAGTTTAATTAAGATGAGTGACTTTATAGAAAAGTCATTTTAATCAGCACATTTTCATGAGGGTGATATTGCAAAAAATATACATGACTCTTGTAATTTCTACCCCTGCCTTAAACAAATTCTGTGGCAAAGCACAGGTGATTATTATAAAAGGTGGTAACTAACTCGGAGGATTTCAAGACAACATCACAGAACATGAAGTCGTTACAAAAGCTTTAATAGTATCTCCCTGTTTACAATACAACAAAATCATAGGAAAGGAACTTAGTGATTTGTATTAAGGACAAAAATGTGGAGGATTTCCAGGTTTTCAATTTCTCTATCTGTTAAACTTCTCTCTGAACTGTATTGGTAGATGTTGAGTTTATGAGTTAAAGAAAGTCCACAAAGAATTCACAGTTTAACCTCTGATCACCATTTTCAGAGCTGTGATGTGTTTACCAGGCCTTACTGTCTAACTGAGGGTACTGTCCAGAAGATCTCCAAAATCACGTTTCTTTTGTTCATTTTCACTTGTGAGGGTGACTCAGGTGGTCAGGTTTTAAGGGGTTCACTTTAAACAAAGTCAAACAAACTGGATTCTCCTCAGAAGCACATACTGACACCGCAGAAAAAGAAAATTAGTCTGGGGGGCAATTGCTGCAGTCAGATTCAGATGTTATTTTTTGCCCGATTTCTTGATGCCTCCGCTACCTATTGGAAAAAGAAAATACAAGATTTAGCAGTTAAGACAAGCTCAACAGTTCCCATACAATTACAGCACTAAGGTATGAGTATAATATAAAAAATATAATATAATGTCACATAATCTTCATAAACACCACAGCAGAGATTTTGCTCTTACTTAGAGGCCCTTTTCCAGAAGCTTTGGCCTTAAGCGCCTCCATGGCTTTCTGCTCTTCCTTTTGCTTCTGCTTAAAAGCAACATCATCCTGCAGACAGACACAGTTAACAGTCAGTAAAAGAATACACAGACCAATAACAAACTCTAAGTAACATAGTACATCAGTTTTATGTGGCTTTTTTGTTTGATATAGCAACTAGACATTGAAAATTCACAAATTTAAAACAGTAAAAATGCAAACAGAATTAAAAAAAACTTCCTTAAAATTTTATCATCAGGTAAACATAGATAGGGAGTTTCTGTAGCCAGTGATGCAGTCCAAACATATCAATAAACATACAAGATAAATTTACAATTACGAGCAAAAAAAAATCAGTTCAAGTGAAATAAAATATACGATATAAAAAACATGCATACACAGCATTACAAATTCTATTTACAGTTTTGAAGGACAGGCAGATACACTTACATCGTCTAGTTCTTTCGACTGTTTCTTTGGGTTCTTCAGTGGTTTCTTTTTGCCTCCTGGGGAAAATTAATAAACAAATTTAATATCAGATCACCGTCTGTTTAAAGTGCTGAAATGGAAACACTACAGTGACAGATGGCTGTATTAAAGCCAGAGCGCTGACCCAAACACTTCTGACCGAGCTATTCACTTTGTACCATTTACTTATTGTATAACTGAGTCTGACAGGTACAGCATGACCTGCTTTTGAATCAATCAAAAAATGATGGGGGTATCCATCATTTACATCCTCCCTTGGAAGAAAAGCCAAGCGTCTTCAAGAACCTTACTCTAGTCCAATTGTCTTTTCGACTGAGAATTGGATAAAGCTGTCATTACCAAACTGCATTACGGGCCGCTGCCGATCTAGTTAATCGGCCGGCCGATCAATCTGTCGATTTCTACACCCATGAGGAGCTGCATCTGTGGAGATGCTCTGACACAGCTATCTAAATCATCCTAGTTTGGCCATTTTGTGTAATCCGGGATACTTGTCTCATCTCACTTGCCCGTTTTACCTCCTCCAGCAGTTCACCTGACGTCTCAAATATTGAACCCACTGACAGGCGTTACAGCAAAGAGATGATTATAACCTGTCAGAGGTTACATTGTTACGGCTAATCGCGGAATTCCATGCACTGAACGCCGGTCACCCAGATTCAACATTAGTCCCAGACCCAGTAGTCTAACTACGTATGCGTTAGCTCGACGATGGACCACAAACTGATGGACAAATTACGACAAAACGGTTTAAATATAAGACAACTAAGAGGCCGAATGTCTCCGACGATCGTAGTGAGTCTTTATATTTAATTATGTGTGTTTTTTTTTTTTAAAACAAACGCACTAGAGCGAGGAAAACCCTCAATGTGTAAGATTTCTAACATATTTTGGTGTAAGGAAGAACGTAATGTGGCTCGCGCGCTCTGAAGCAGACATTAGCTCCTCCGCTTTACTGAGCTCAGTTACGCCGTCTAAATGTACTTGTTTTAACTTTGACATACACGTAACGTCTCACCTTCTCTCCCAGACATGTTTTAAACTCGTCAAGGCGGTTAAAAAGAAGAAAATAGATGTATTGTTAGCGACGACAGCCGGTGAGTCTTCTAATCCGCGCTGGAAGGACCTCAGAGACCTCTGAACCGGAAGTGGACAGGCTGCGATGCGCCTGAAGGAAAAGATCACCCGGCTTTCGCTGTTTCATTTGACATTAATGCTAACGCTGTAAGAAATGTGATCTGTGAGACATGTGTGCGTCGACATCACCGAGGAATACGGCTATGCCAATTTCAATGTGAATTTACGTGGATAAAACTCTCTAAAGGTCCTAGAAACAGTAAAGGTAAGTTTACTGCTCAACTAGCATCGTGAAAGAATTGAATGAGGTAGTTAAAAGGACACAACTGTTAGCTGGTTAACCTTGTCATAAATATTACTGTAAGTCAGAGTTACTGATCAGAAATCATGTTAATATAACTATCCTAAAGTATAACTCATTATTTCACATGAAGTGCTTGTTTGTAGTTTCTTTATGCTGACAGTTCACCATGTGGATTAAGTGATTTTCTCTCTACTGTGTACAAAGGTTGAAACTGGAAGAACTTTGTACTTGTTTTTACTTTTGGTTTGTTTTTGTTTCCCATTTTAGTGAGGTTTGGTTACTGAATTGTGTTTCACATGTTGTAGGTGTAGTTTATATTATGTTCAGCATTTTGAAGCTTTAAAAATGATAAAGATGTTAAAGTATGTCCATGTGGATTCTCATTCATCCAGGTCATGGTTTTCTTGAAGACTCCAAAATCAGGCAACTGGACTGTGTAGAGTTGGGAAGACGTTTCGCCTCTTTATCCAAGAAGCTTCTTCAGTTCTAAATATTGCTAGTGTGAGGAGCAGATATTTATCTTACTGGAGAAGGGGACAGACAACGACTGGAAAAGAATGGGTCGTAGAAATCCATCTCCGGGTTATCTCCGGGGTACATGATACTATCAGCATAATGTCAGAGCCCCACAGATGTGAAAATTCTTCTGATATTTTTGGTCAATAAGGTGCAGCATTATCTACTATTTGTGTACTATGACATCTTAGAAGTGCCAATATCAAAGTACAACAAATAGGCTGTGTAGAACTGTTTTGGAGTGTTGGAAACAGACACTTAAATAGCTATTTTCAATGTTTGTGGAGCACAAGAGGTGCAGGGGAAGAAGAGCACCAGTCCTTTAAATATTACCAGTTTGATTATGCATCCAAAGAAACGATCATGTTTGACAGCATTATGAGTTTCTGAAAAGTAATGGTGAAAAAGTGTTAACCTGCAGTGAACACAAGTATGTTTTTAACAGCACTGAGATGTTGCCTCTGTGCTCTATCATCAGCCAGTCTGAACTCTATTGAGCCGAGCTGGAGCGTTTTTAATCAGGTGTTTTGAACCTCTGAAACCTGTACCATGGCTAATATGATTGTCTCACATGTGTTTTACTGCTGTTGTCACAGATGCCCATTCCAGAGTCAGATCTATGACGGTCCTGAGAGTGAAGCTCTGACTGTTTTCCACCTGCACTTCAGACTGTTGACCTCATAATGTGGTATGTCTGTCTCCTCCCATCTTTAAAACCTTCTCAGCTCACAGTAATGAGGCAGTTTTAACCGTGTTTTTACCTCGTCAGGTACAGAGGAGCTCAGATATGTCTCTGGGCTCATGGCTCATACTGTGCGTCCCGGCACACCTGGCCTGGCAGAATAACTCTAGTCAGAACATACAGCACTCACCATACGCCTGGTTCTCCTCAACCCACTGACCCGGTCCCTCCTGACAGGAAGGGTGGATCTGAAGTGGTGAAGGAGCGGGCTCTGGCTGCCCTGCAGGTACACTGAATCCCTGCTCTTCATGTCTACGGCAGACTTAAAGACTTAAGACAGACAGCACTGCCAACAGGGTTACCACTGATGAATTATGAAAACATCTTACCTCCTTTCTACTTCTCTTCCTTCTCCAGTATGCTGGTGAAGTGGGTCAGCAATGGGGTCAGAGGTCAGCTCAAACAGCCACTGCCACAGTCAACTACTGGTGGGCGAGATATGAGGAGTTTGTGGGGCTCAATGAGGTCCGAGAGGCCCAGACCAAAGTCACTGAGGTAAGAAGAACGAGGATGTAAAGAGTGCTTTTCTGTGAGTTGATATTCAGTGAAAATACCTGGTGACCTGCAGATGCTGAACTCCCCTTTTCTTACTGCCTCATATCAAAGTTACAGACTAATGTTTCCAAGTCTTTATTCTTTATTCATACGGATCCCCATTAGCTGCCACCACGGTAGCGGCTACTCTTCCTGGGGTCCACAAATAAAACAAACAACACTATACAAGACAATACAATACATAATTCAATAAAACATGTACAGTCTTGCAAAGGTCATTTAAGACAATAAAAGTCCAGTAAAAAGCAAACCACAAACAAAAAAAAACAAAAAACAAAACAACAAGAAAAAAACAAGCAGCAAACAAATTAAACTAAAGTTTAAAAGTCAGTTAAGATTACAATTAAGATTAGTGTAATTTGTCAGGTGTCTTTTAAGGAGTCTCTTAAAACTAGCCTTACTAGGTGCTTCCATGATCATTGTCGGTAATGTGTTCCAAATGGTAATTGCTCGATAAATTACAGATCTGCAGACTGCATTTGTTCTGGGTTTTTCTTTAACCATGTCACCCCTAGTAGCCTGCCTGGTATTATAATTATGACGATCTCTCACATACTGTATTTGCGAGTTCAAACAAACAGATTCTTTGTTAAAACAAATATTCCTAAAGAACCTCATTAAATTACAGTCTGCTGCAGTGATGTGACAAAGATCCTGACTCTCTGTGCTGTGTGTTTTCTGCAGGCTGAATCAGCGTTCATGGTGGCCAGAGGGATGGTACGAGAGGCTCACATCAGCCTGGAGGCACTACAGGTCAGACTGAAGGAGGTCAGAGACCGGCTGGACCGAGTCTCCAGGGAGGAGGCTCACTACCTGGAGCTGGCAACACAAGAGCACAAACTACTGCAGGTCAGCTGGGGCTTTAATTCGTGTGTTTTTAGTGTTTTTTTTTTTGCTTTAGATTAATTTTGAAAAGGTTTCTGCTTGTTGGGATTAAACTTCAAGATGTGGGATGGGAGATGAGGGAAGCAACGGATCTTAAATGTTGCATTTTCGTTTAATCAGAGACAATTCACTGTCTTCTTCCTGCAGGAGGAGCGACGTCTGCGGACAGCGTATGAGAACGCAGAGGGTTCAGAAAGGGAGAAGTTCGCCTTGTTCTCCGCAGGTGTCAGAGAGAGCCATGAGAAAGAGAGGTCGAGAGCAGAGCGCACCAAAAACTGGTCCATTATCGGTTCAGTACTTGGGGCTCTTATCGGGGTCATGGGATCAACATATATCAACCGGGTCCGCCTCCAGGTTGGTTTCTGCAGTGAGGAGTTTTTCCATGTTTGGAGATGTTATGAATTGAGCACAAAGTTGCTCTTTTTGTGTTATATTTCATTCATATCAAAGCATCACTTTTGATGACTTTTCCTTCTTTAGGAGCTGAAGAGTCTCCTGCTGGAGGCTCAAAAAGGTCCAGAGAGTCTGCAGGAAGCCCTCAAAGTCCAGGCTGGAAACCATCGCTCCCAGCAGGACGAACTGCGTACGCTTATTGACAGCCTCAGGGTCGCTCTGAATGACGCCCTCACACAGAGAGACATCCTCCTGCAGGACAAAGCAGGTCAGGCCTCAAACCAGCCCACTGTGCCTCTTTCAGCATTAAGAGACCTCCACACCGGCAGCAAAAAGACACAGTCTCTCCTGGAGGCTCTGCCACCTCGGCTGGGTCATCTGCAGCAGGGACTGGGCCGAGTGGAGGCTGATTTGTCGTTGGTGAGGAGGCTGCTGGAGACCAAACCACAGGCTGAAATACAGGCCGTTCAGCCGCAGGTCACAGCACCAGAGAGACCAGAGAGGGGGGACCAGCTGGAGCCCGAGGTCGTGATCAGGAGTCTGGAGGAGACAAAGAGGACGCTGGGAGAGGGAATCAGGACAAACACGCTTTATAACGCTGTGTTTACGTACACAGCCACTGCCATCACCATCAGTGCTGTTTATGTGCTGCTCAGAGGAGCTGGTTAGACCCGATACCTCAGGATTCAACAGGTCCACATGCACTGAGTCATTATCAGCAGCTTGTCGTAATAATAGAAATGAAAGAGGTCAGAATTAAACTTGTACAGGGTTAAAAGTAACTCACTGGTGACTCTTTAAGAGATGAAATGTTAGCAGGACTTTTGACCTAATTCTAACAGTGCTGCACTCAGCTGTTAGCAGTCTTTATAATGAACTTCACACAGTGAAGATAAAACACTGGAGGACAGCATACTTACTGAGTCAATTTAATGTCAGGTGCTGTTATTTATCTTTGGAGCTGCCTTTATCGAACACAGCTGGATACAAACAGCTGTTATCGTCTTAAAATATAAGAAAGGGTTTCTTAATGTTTTGAAAGTATTCGGCCGCAGCATGTGGACTCGTCTACACCTTTTCTTTAGTGAACAAGAAGCAAATTTCTTTTTGCCTGAAAGCAGCTAAATCCAAACCTGCTGAATAAATAATACAGGCAGCAAAGTTATCAAATCCTCTTCAGCTTCTAATATGAAACAGAGAAAATAAGAGATTCCCCATGGTTGAGAAACAGGAAGTATAAGCTGTTTGGCTAATAGCTTGACTAGTTATCAAAGTGCTTTTTAATAACTACATGTGATCACAAACCAGCTTCAGTCAGTCTTCTCTTGGCTCCTTCATGTGAGAAACTTTCTCTTTTCAGAACAAACGCCCTGTTCCTGCACTAAATCTGACAGTTCTGAGTCTGAAGAGCATTATCACTCCATCCGGAACTATCAGTTAAATGGGAAAAAAAGTAGCTTTCAAATTTCTAGTTTTAGCAAAAATGAAAATCTAGGCTAATGGACGCGTTGGAAGGGAAGATAACACTCAGAAAACCAACCTTGTGTATTTCCACTGAGAACCTGCTGCTCGAAAAAACTCGAAAGGGGTTGACAGATATTGGTTTTAAGGGGCCAATACTTATATCAATTATTGGTGGTTCAATGCAAATGCAACCAACACCTGTGAACTGTGATCAATATTTATTCAAAGTAAAAATCTTTCTGTTAAAATTCAGGATTTCGACTTGCCATTAAAAAACAAGCTACTCCGTTATAATGATCAGAGATGAGTATGCACAACAGTAAAGATTAGCTTTCATATCTGAAGCCTCTACAAAATTTACAGAATGAAGTATTTGGCTGTTCTTGTGCTCTGATTTTCCACTTACAGCTGCCGTGGTTTGTGTTGGTTCTGGCGCCCCCTGTGGACAAAATGTTGGCAGGATATTAATTCAAAGTAGAGCTCTTTAGTTGGTTAGTGTAGTGGATTTATTGGCAATTTCTAAGACAAATGAATTAATACAGATAGTGGGCTAAATACAGAGTATCAGCCCCCAACAGTCGGCCTGGCCAATAATCGATCAACCCCTTCTTTGCAAACAATCAATTTCCAAATCAACACTATTGTCAGTCTTCTCCAGACCAAACGTAGTGACCTGCGATCTGTTTGACAGTTGTGCATTTGACCCTTTTTATTGATCATATAGGTGAGTAATGAGGTCATGTGCCTGCTAAAGCTTATCTTTGGTTACTTCATTCAGATTGTTCAGAAACAAAGGGACCACTCGCTCACACCTGTAATCCCACTTCAGGTACTGTTTTCGCTCAGCTGCAAATCGAAACTGTGATTCTTAGACAGCTGTTTCAGTTGCAGTTCCGGTTTAAATGTGAGGAGAGCCTGTTATGTATAAAGTCAATCTATTGCAAAGCTGATTATTTTAAATAAATGGAGCAATAACTGCTGAAATGAAATGTGATCTTCTTCAAATCGATGAAAGAAAACTGTCTGACCTGACGACGAACAGACCTCAGCCCCTTATAAACAGCTCTGAATGAACTATGATTGCCAAAAATGTGAGAGCTGCTAAAAGTTTTGCAGAGCAGAACATGTTCACGCAGAATTTAAGTGTTTAAGTGAACCTGTAGTTGTGTGTTGGCGTTTGGCTGTTCATCATGATGTTGACTGTGTGCACTGAGCTCAATAATCACTGCATTAAAACAGTTTAAATTCAAACTACTTTAGAGAATCGAGTTTGTTTAGTGTTCAAGAGTCCTTCGGTAAATTACTCACTTTCTGTCTCCTGCTGATAAAGAAAAACGGATTTACTTTATAACTTTATAACAAACAGCTTTGTTTATTGTTTCTTTTTGTCATTAAAAAACTTCTGTCAGTTAATCATCTGTTGAAAGTGAAAAAACTCTGAAAAAACACATAAAAATCTCCTGATAAGAGCGCCCTCTGCAGAGAGTTTTTCTTAAACTGATTTTTTAAAAAGATAAAGATGTGGCCAAATTAATTCAGGGTTTAATTATCTGGAACAGAACACAACTTCACATTTTAGAGGCTCAAAGGATAAAACATTTCCCATCACATACTGTAAATTATCTGAGATAGATTTTAATTTAATTGCAGATGAGAAACTGATGAAGCATGAAGGTTTCTTTTAATCCATCTAGGTGATGAGTAGATCTACTGAGTGATTAGTTTTAGAGAAGCTGAGAGTTCCACTGGTAACCAGCAGGGGGCAGCAGCTGAACATGATCCACTACATGAAACCTGCAGCTCTGTGATTTTTTCTCATCTTTATGTTCATCAGTCTTTTACAGTTTTTTTTTAAAGGTTTTGATGACATATTTATCTTTTCCTTTACACCAGACTTCAGATACCGGGTTATTTGGTGTTTGGAGGTGATATTTCTATCATTTCATTCAATAGATATGTCATTATAGAAGTTTTCTCACTTCTCACCTGCTGGAGGACTTTCTGAAAACTCCCCTCCTGGGTCAGTAAGAGTGTTGAATCACCATGTGAGGTAATTATGTTTTATATCACTACATTTGACTACTGAACATAAAACCTTTCACCAGCTAAGGTTTCAGTTTGGAAACATAATCTAGTGTTTATTTCACTCTGACCCAGTGACTTCATGTCCAAAAACCTGAAGGATAAAATTAACTGGTAAAAAAAAAAAAAAAAAAGCTAAGTGAGATTTTTAGAGAGAGTAGTGAGTTCAGGGTGTAAAATATTATAATCACACGACTATTATTTCTTATTCAAACGATTAAAAAAAGTCCTCGTGTTGCAGCGTCCACATACTTTTGGCCGTGTGTTGTCTGGACAGTGTCTCGTCCCTCTGTCCTGATAAATCCTCTGCAGCAGGTGTTCAGTCTTTACTTAGCACAATGACAGATACGAAACCACAACAAACACACACACACACACACACACACACACACACACACACACACACACACACTCACACACACACACTCCACATTCTGATCCCTCGGCTGATCGTGACACTAATCTAGAAAAAAAAAACATGCTCCTTGTTTGAATCAACAGGACAAGCTGCTGAATGAGAAAAAAAGTCACTCTAAAAGGATTTAAAACTGCTTATTCATAGCTGGGAGAAATGTCTGTTTCTGCATATAATATCTCGTCATGTGATTTGCAAGCATCGTGTCTGCGACTGAAAAAAAGGAAGAGTCACTTTTTATTCATGCCTTTGCTCCAGAGTTGACTCTACAGCATTTTTTGGATCTGTGACATCTCTCAGACGTACAGCCAAAAAAAGCCTGTGTGTAAAAACCACAAAGACACATGAACAAGTACTGACATGCCAATAATACAAAACCAGAAAGAGACTCTGGGGTAGTTTGATAAAAACCCTTAAAAAAGCGAATTAATTTGGTATTTTCATGACAATCTCTCTAAAGCTGCAACACCACAAACAGTCGAGAGTTTATGTTTGCAGACTCCTGGCAATCCAAACTAAATCCGACCACACCTGTCTGTGGTTATTAAATAAACACTTGAAGTTAAATAAACAACTAAGTTTTATAAAAGTTCACCTTCACTTTCATCCTCATGAAACACTCAAGTCTACAGAGTGTTTTTATTTCTACAAGCTGTGCATATATTTTATTCGTCGGTTAAAATGGAAACTAATGGGAATGGGCTCGATCTTGGGTGTGGCTCTAGTGGACATTTAAGGAACTGCAATTAATGGCACTTACTTGGACTCCAGTCAGACTTCAGTTGCACACCAATGTGGCTTCAGACTTGACTTGGACTCACCATCAGCTGATCATGCTGCAGATATTGTGTATAAGAAGAGAGGCGTTGGAGGAGACGGAAATGGAGGACGGCAGCGATACTGGAAATGTGCACCGCCAAGCAGACCAATCATAATCCTCTCTACTTTCCGGCGTTTATAAAACTCCTAACACTGTGACCATGTGACCAAAGACATGACATGTGACAAGTATTTCAGCCCTCAAAGAGGTCGTCCTTGATTTTAATGTCTCATCTCAGCTGTGCCAGAAACAACACCCAACAATAACAGCTGATTTTTAATAAATGTTCTTTGCTGTGTTTGTTCAGGTGCGGGCAGGTGTGGCAAGATGCTTCAGCTTTTTATTCTTCTGACACTTAAATCAGTGTAGCTGGAGGCTAAAGCAGAACTTTAGATTAAAAAAAAAACAATGTTGAAGAATAGATGGATAAATATGATAAGAACTAACACTTCTATGTTTTTTTTCTGTCGCTACATTAAAATGGACCCTGAAAGCCTCTTTTAACTCAACTCTGCCTCTCTCCGAACAGAAAGCAGCACTCACAGGTATTATTAACACTCAGGTATCGTGAACACTGTGACCTGGTTTCTACTGTCACGTGAAGACGCACACCTTTTCTACTTCTGCAGGTAAACAGTGTCTCGGTCATGTCTTCAGAGTTTCTGCTGAGCAAACACACCTGATCCAAAAGTACCAAGCTGATATCAGGAAACTTGTCTGATGGTGAACTACCTGAATCTGTGTTTTCTGTGTTATTCTTGCAGCTTTACCCCTCTTTCTTTATCGCTGATTCAGGACAAATAAAGTTGAATATCTGAAGTTTATTATCAGGGGTGAATTAAATGATGACAATCTGAAGCAAAATGATGTTAAAGCTGCTTTTTTAACAGCTCACTGTCCTCCTCTTAATGTGAAATGTAAAAAAAAAAACTTTTATTTTTGTTGTTTTTGTTTAGGTAGTTTAGTTTTGGGTCTTTTGTTTCTCTGGGTCACTTTTGAGACAGATTAGGGGGTGACGGTCTATTGCATGACTGATCTAATACCTTCACATCACCTGCTCATCAACGCGACTGACTGTTATAAAACCAAATCTCCTCTATGACCTTGTTGTTTGTTGTTTTGCAGCCGCGGGGCGTCTCATCTTGTTTTTGGATTTTAGCGTCAGGCGTGTCTCACTGTTGTGTTTGTGCATTTTTATAGTGATGCATTTTTTGGCAGCGCAGGTGTTTTAACCGCCGAGAGCATTTCCATGGAAAGTGATGTTTACTTGAGGGCTGTACCCAGCTCTTCAACATCACATGAGCGCCCTCTTCAACGCTACACTAATGACGGAGACGGAGGAGAGGAACAGAAAGAGGAAGAGAGAGAGACGGACATGTGAGGAGGGAGACAAAAGAAAGAGAGAGGAAGACAAGGGTCGCTGACACCTCTCCTCCTCACATGACAGAACTATCCAGGTCACCCACTCAGCTCTGAGTCCTTCACAGTGCACTGAGGAGACTGTAACAGCTGGACTGTTTCTCCAGCTGCTCAGCTGACATCCACACACCTGTATCGAGAACAGAAACATCTTCAGTGGTGTCCCTGATGCTCTTGTTTGCTTCTGTATGTCATAAAAAGGCATCAGTAGTCATTTCAGTCTATTTCCTAAAGGTCAAAAACTCCTCACTAACAGGTCACAGGCCTAAAGAGAATCGCTGACTCTCCTCTCAGCTTGGACTGGTACCGACTGCATAATCTGCAGCTCATGAACACTTCATACTGATCCTTACTGTAACAGAAGTTTAATAAATAATAAAGCGAATATGTAAGACACATCAGTGTTTACAGCACAGGGAGCTGATTCAAAGCTGGACATACTGTGTAGAAAATGGTGTCATAAATTAAGAGGATACCCACTTCTCCGGGATCTGCATTAAGTCTGTTAGTGACATAATTTAGTGGGAATAAGATGATACACAGAGGAATTTGAGGGGGTTTTGCTGTGTGGTAGCAGTGATTTTGTTCAAAGATGGGGTAGGCAGGATCTCCCAACCAGTTTTCCCCTCAACTCCTCCTCTCCCCTCCCTCTCTGCTCCAGCAAGCCCCGCCCACAAACAGACTCTCCTGCTCGCTCGTATCGTTCCAGTTAAATTCAGATATAATGCAGATAAATACTTCAGATAATTACAAATGGGGCCCAGTCAACGTGAAAGTAAAAAGCATCGTTGCTACTGTAGATGCCAACAGACTACCAGCAAACACAATGTTTGCAGGACTTCTACAACTAGGATAAAGTGACATAGTCCAGGACCCGAGGGAGGACAGTTTAGCGGGGCGACAACTGGCAGCAGGTCCCGTTTGACAAGAAACACTTCTGTTACAGACACTTGTCTTACTTTGTTAAAGCGGTTTACCTGTCCAGCAGAAAGGTTACAGGGTCACCAAGATCCCCAAGCGTCCCCCATCGTTTATGTTGACCCGGCTTTTTAGCTCTTGTCCGGTCTACCTCCGTTTTAAGCGCCTGTTGTTTCACCAGAGTTTCCGGTATTTACTTTGTTTTCTTGCTTGTGTCGGCAGTCGTTGCTAAAGGAGGATTCAGACAATTTTTCGTACTTTCTGGTTGGTTTTTACTGTCCGATGTTGTAGCACGCTAACTTTGTATAGGCTCATGCATGTTATTCGAGGATGTGGAGCGTGCCTCACAACCAATCAGGTTGGGGGAGGCGGAGAACGTCTTTGTTTACAGTCAGAAATAGTGGGCCCTCAAAAACTTTAAAATGTTACACAGACACACAGAACACAGCGATATTGTTATATTACCAAATGTCATCAATAACTGATAACTATTGACAGATATTCAAAGCTTTTTTTGTATATACACCACAAAATAAGATGCTTCTTTAACGGAATCCGGCCTACCTCACCTTTAATGTTAAAATACAACTGAGTGAAAAAACTGTGAGTGCCCCAAAGAGAGAGATTTCCTTCAAAAACACACCAAGCAAACCCCTCCAGATCTTGCACCAAGCCTAAATAGATTCTGTCTGTCTGTCTGAGTGCTGCTGTTTAAGTAGATGGGAGTCAGGATCGGGTCAGTCCTTTTTAAAATGTGTGTAATCCTGCAGGTGAAGTTTTCAGAGTTTCAGAGAAGGGTTAAAAATAGAGCTCTGAATCACCTGCTGGTCTCACTGTTGGACCGTCCCGAGTTCTCACATGATCGACGACCTCCAGCGCCAAAATCTCCAACTGTGTGGGGCAGGATTTGGCAGGAACTGGGTCAGTGTGTGAGATTTCATATTAACTTTTTAGTGACTCCTGCAGCCCAGTGGCAGATTTTAGAGTTTCCTCGAACACTCTGGCACTTTCCAGTTTCACGTGACAATGACATGATTGTGCATAAAAGTAGTAACACCAAATTCAAATTACTGTCGGGGTTGTAAAATGTGTTTTTTATAACATCTTCAACTCAAGAGTGGAAAAGTTTTACAGTGGTGGATTGTGAAAGGTCTGAACTTTGACCCTCTGTCCTTGGATCTTCGTGGATCAAAGGAACTCGTGATAAGCCGGTTCACTGAGGAAAAGTTTAAAACAGCTCAGCAGTGACAGATTTGATATCTTTACAAACTTTATCCATAAAAAGGCGATAATTTCTCGCCCTTTCAGCTCCTCTTGTGAATAAACTCTCAGACGCGCTCTCATCGTTGATGACTGCGACTTCGATCCAAGATCTGTCGGTTAAGTCACGTCATGTGATGTTATTTACTCTATATAGATAAGCAGAAGTGGTCAGTGGACCTGACTCACATTCACATTACGCAAACACAATATTTACACACTCTTCATTTTACTGTAGGACTCATTCACCTGCAGCTTCCACATTTTACTACAGGCTGGTACATTTCCAGAACGCTCCAGAGGTTAGATTATCTCCTGGTTTGTTCCTGAAACTTTTGAAACGTCTGTGTCTCCTCCTCTTTTTTCAAACGTTGACTCCACAGCAGCAGGTTGAAATGACAGGAGATTAGACTGTGGGCTGTTTGGTGCACCTGTGACTGACTGCTCACCTGTCCTCTCACACAGTGACCTCTGGGCTTCAGCCTCTACATGAACTCTGTGCAGCAAGAGAGGAAAACTACACATATACTCGACTCAAGTAAACTCTCAGGGTCTGAATCTACTCATGCAAAAGTACAAAGAGCTCAGTTTCACACAGATAGTATACGCCACCCTTCCATAAGTGCCATGCCAGAAACCACTTTTCGTTCTCTGAAGTTGGGTGAATATTATGCAGAAGTTTGAGATGAGATTTCCTGACTTTGTGAACCAGATTTAAAGGGAGAAAGCAAAAATTTAAACCGGGTAGTGTCGACAAAACCAGAGCACCGAAAGATTTCCCCATGACTTCTACATCTATATTTCTATACTGTTTCCAAGCTGTGAAATCTATCTCAAGCTGTGCTGGTCGCTTACTGGACATTCACAGTCAGCTGATCACAGACACGGCCTCTGATCGATTGGGTCAAACAAAGATAGCAAACATAAATCATCACAGATTATTTGTGTTTTTGAAGGACTGGATTCAGACAGTCTCTAAAACACACTGATCTTCTCTCAAATCTCCTGAACATCATAGAAACATAGAGACATTAACCGACTTACCTAAAACCCACTCGCTTTGTGAGTCCGGCAGCTTTCTGCTAATGAACTCTGTATTTTTTGTTGACACTAAACCAATCCTGGGCAAAGTCATTAAAAATAATAATAATAATAATAATAATAATAAAATAAAAGCGACATTGGCTGTGGCAGTCGAAGCAGCAGAAACTTCCTGATGAGTCACTTATCATAAACTCAGTGTCATCCTCTGATACCAGGATGATGTTATCACTCTTTATTTATAATTATTGTTAAAAGCAGGTCAGTGTGCGGGAAGGATAAACATAAACATGTTGTTCCTCTCAAGGCTGAATCAGGTTTTTCTGCTTTTTTATATGAATGACAACTTGATTTAAAAGTTTAACCCTGAAATTTACCGTCAGTCCCAGAGGGTGTTAAATGAACGTTACAGCAGCGGTAAAAGTTTATTTTTTAATGTATTAAAGAACCTCACAGGCACTTAAATGTAAAAACACTCTTGAATACTCTTCCTCTTGTTTAGCTCAGAGTTATTTTAGGATTTCTAAATTCTCGGGTCAGAGTTAAACAATCAAACTGTTTCTGCAGAAACTTTCCTCATTAAATGGTGAAAATCTGTGACTGCAGCAAAGAGGATCAAACCGAAGCAAAGTGACCCACATGAGGAGGAAAAACTCTCAAAACAAGCTGCAGCGTGTTTCCTGTAACAGTGGATGTAAAGGATTTGGTTAATCTGTAATAATGAACAAACCGACTGTTCCACTTCAAGAAAACATTTAAATATAAACTTTTTCAAATTAGTTTTTCCAACTTTATCTTGTATCTCATTTAACATTAAACAAAGTGCAGGGTCAAGGCCAGGAAATTCGTTTCTGTGTTATCCAATTTGTCCAAACTGTTCAAACTAAAAGTCAGTTTTACTTCATTTCTTCACTCGACTCTTCTCTCCCAGCTCTTTTTCTTTTACAATGTATTATTGAAGTGTTATTTCTACTGTTTACATAACTCATTGTTAATAATAGGCAAAAATGTAGTGCCTACAGTTTTAGAAACACAGTCCCTGAAAACCAGAGTGTAATTATATTTCATCTTATATGCACAAGTCATTTTCGTCCGTGCACAGATGATCACTTATGTGCACAATATAAAGTTCTTCTCTGCACAGCGTACATGTGTTTGTCCTTCATCACATTTTTCTGCTTAGAATAAAAAATACCGTGCACACTTAAGATACTCACCCTAGGTACAACTTAAGTTATTTTCTTTCTTAAAAATCCTTATTTTGTGTCTGTGGTGTGATTTTCTTTTGCGACAACAAACATGTCTTTTGCAAATTTTCAGAATGTATTATATTGTCTACAGAGGATCTCTCTAGGTCGTCCTCAGACGAGCCTTCCATCGTCGCTTCCAGTCATCCCGATTCTCCATACATCTCACCGGTTCTTTGGTACTCTGAGCTCCTGCATCCTTCTTGAGTTTGTCCACGTATGTTAGTGTAGGACAAGACGTCCTCTTGACCGATGCCCATGTATTGGTTCCCACAGCACCACTTTGCTGGCTGGCAGTTCCCGATGCCTTTGACAGTGTCCTGCTAGTCTCATTCTCCTTACAGCAATCTTCTCGCTCACCCTTGGATTACACAGATTGTGTGTGTGCGCCGTACCAACATCTTGTGAACACAGGATGTTTTTTGTTGTGCAGATTTTTTTAACTTGTTCACACCATGCGGGATATAGTTTTCTTGTGCAGGAATTGTGTGTGCACATGTGGTTTCTTGGGTTAACAATAGAGCTTCTTGCGCTTTGATCCAGATATGTTTGCACGAGCTGCTTTCTTGAGTGCACTGGCTGTTACCTTATTTGCATGAGATGATTTTCTACTGGCAGAAGAGAATGATCGAATGGCCACAAGATCATTTGTGCACACAGGATTGGAATTAATCCTTTATGTGGGTTAATGAATTCATTTAGGGAATAAAACTTTAAGAGATAAAGACTTTGGACTCAAATCGTGAGGTCAATGTGAAATCTATGAAACTTTGTTCTCTATGCAAGTGAGTTTGGATTTTCTTTTTCCCTTCTGACTCTAACAAAAAATGAGATATATTTTATAGTTTTTCAACCATCTTTTCTCTTTGTTAGTTCCCCTGTTTTCTTGTTTTACCTTGAACCAAACTCTCATCCTCGGACTCTGTGTTTTCTTTCAAAAACATAATTATAAGATAAAGAAAGAAAATGAGCGGTCTCAGTCTGCAGCTTTGTAAGAGATGGAGGGTCAGCAAGTTCAGCAGACTGAGGGATTAGAGAAATGTGTGTGTGTGTGTGTGTGTGTGTGTGTGTGTGTGTGTGACCTCTGGAGGTCTCCACATTGAGTCAGGGGTCAAGAGGTCAAACATGCGAGGGGAGGGAGTGTGTCTAGACATGTCCATGTGTGCTGACATCCTTTGTGTGTGTGTGTGTGTGTGTGTGTGTGTGTGTGTGTGTGTGTGTGTGTGTGTGTGTGTGTGTGTTGCACATAGCAAACTGCTCGTCTGTGCCAGCTCGCATTAACGCTGTTTCACTGCTTTTCCTCTCGGCTCGTGTTACTGGAGGTAAAATAGTTCCTGCTGCGATGAGTCTCCTCTCCTCTCCCTCATCCTCTCATTTCTGTCAAGTTTTTAGTCTGACTGTTCAGCAGGTTATGGATTCTGCAGGAAGAAAAAAAACACTGTCTCTGTGGAGAGCAAAAGTAGGAGGAACACAATCATCTGCAGCAGCGACATCTTGGCTCCAGTTTTGCGCAATCTGATCAGGATTTCGATCTTCTCACTCCTAAAACACATCAGTAGACGGATTACTGTATACAACGCTCCTCTGATGTTGATGGATAACTTTACCAAGACGACGCGTCTCTTACGTTAGCAGTATTATGTAACTCTCGCCTACATAACCCACCTGGATTAAACGGATGAGAAACAAACACAATTCGACCGGCTACTTTATTCTTCCAGCTTCTAAGTTCAGCTAAGCTAACCACACCCTGGTCTGCAGAAAGCACAAAAGCACAAGATTAATGTCCTTTCTTCATCCCCGTCTTTAAGAAGAGACAGAGAAGACTACCAGACAAGATGGCTGCTCAAAGGTTGAGCGGTGCCTGAAGGAGCCATGACAAACGCCTCAACCTCTGAGAGGTTTAACATTCCTGAGTGTGAAAGTGCAGCTTTACTGAGTTCCTGCTGAGATTTTGTGTTGTTGAAGCTCGCTTTGTGACACAAACAGCTGACAGGAAAATGCCGAGCAGGGCCGTCTGCTGAGTCACTGCCAACAGCAACCAGCAATGACCTCTGAACCACTTCCAGTAAAAGAGAAACTTATGATCTCTGTTAAACCTGCAGGTTCATCAGCACAAGACACATTTCCAAAGTAAAGATGCAGTTATACATTTTTGACATGAACAATTAACAAAACTAGTATCAGAACACGTGTCTTCTGCATATTTAACGCTGTGTTGTGCAGATTTTTGCACTTTTTCTATCTTCAAATACTGAATTTTCATCCAAACTTATCAACCTGACCTGCTTTGGGCTGCACCACCTCTTTTCTAAACACACCTGTAAACATTTGCTCCCAAAATTTGTGTCAAAAGTAACCCCTTATCTCATAAAGTAACAACAACTACACTACATGACACTATTAAATAAAAGGCAAAATAAGGGCAAACCTACTTTTTAAAGACAGATCAGCATATTGACAAAATAAAGGTGGAATGTTAATCGATGATTTACTTTTGATGTCATACCAAAAATAGCTTTACTATCAGGCTGTTTTCATGTCACAGTGACCTGACCTGATGGAGCTGCTGATGAGCTGAGATGTGTCCACGCCACAAACATAAAGAATGTCCTCATGACTTTAGTTTGATGTAATCTCCCCTCGCATGAGAAAGCAAAGTTATCTCCAAAATGTTAAAATGGTTTAAATAGTTTTAAACTTGGACTTAACTTTACAGTCCTTGTGTTTATATACGTTTCTGTGATTTATCAGACAGTGTGACAAATCTTGTGTAACTGTAAGGTTGCAGTTTTTCAACCTCTATGCTGATGACATACAAATGTTCTCATGATAAAAAGAGGGCGTGACCAGCATAGTACACTCCAAGTATGGGTGCAACTTAAAAAAAAAAGTTCTTTTTTTTATCTGTAATTTAATTCAAAAAGTGAAAGTTCCATATATTCTCAGTTCTTCATACACAGAGTGAAATATTTCAGGACTTTTTGGTTTGAATCTTAATGATTACCTCTGATAACTCATGAAAAGCTCATCTATGTTGTTGCTCGAGTGTTTTGATCCTCTTTGAGGTTCAGGTCCAGTCAAACACAATAATACCTTAGTCAGCAAACCAGTTTCTGGTAGTTTTGGTGCTGTGGGCAGGTGCCAGGTCCTGCTGGAGAAGGAAATTAGTATCACTATAAAGCTTCTCAG